AAACACCATCATTAAGTTTGAGAAACAACCCGACTAGTCTAAGAGACATGTTCCTAAAGATTCCGGTAAAAACTAGTTGTAAATGTTTAGACGAACCTATAATAAGATGCATAACACAATGCTTATTTAACCACAAAATCAGTTGTGGTGACATAATTAGTGTCAACTGTAAAAACTACTAGAATCATCTTTGATCAGAAATAGACAATTTTTTTAAAGTTCCGAATATATTGTGCTTTTTTCTTTCGACCATCCAGACAATGTTTACTTTAGAATGCCATAATTCTTTGATAAAGATACAGATGATTCTTCGTCGAGTTCCTTAAGAATTTTGTATTTTTCTCTGGTATAGTTCTAATTGATAGCTTTCTTTTAGCAACCTTCATCATTTTTAGTAAATAAAACTTGATCAAAGTATAACTAAATCGAAGATATCAGTGAGAATGTTTAGTTCATTAAATTAAGTTTGACGCAAAGTCAAACTTAATTTAACGATAATTTTAAACGCTCTAAGTTTTGAATTTTAATAGATATTTTAGAGTTTTTAATGTAAGTTATTAACAAATAGAATTTATTCGAAGCTTAACTGAATCAAAAGATCTCCATGAAAATGTTTAGCTATTTTTAATTATATTTGACGCAAAAGTATTTTATTTTCTAGCATTAAATGTTTGCAATTTTTATTAAAGTATTGGAAGTTTGGTTATTGTATGCACTTATATGTAATTCAAAATAAAAGTCCTAGTTAAGCAAAGTTTTTTGCCAAAGAGACCTCAAAAAACAGTACGAGTTAGCGAATGGTCCGACTTAACCAGGATACAACTTAAGCAAATGATTTTACAGTAAGTTGATAGAGAATGTTTATAGGAAATTGAATTTCTGTCTTACTTAGTAAACGTCCGTCTTATCCAGGGTCCGAGTTAACGGGATTCAACTGTAAACGAAATAAATTATAAAAACGTGGTTTCTAATGTTTTTTTGCTTCGACCTCATTCCTTTGGTCTATGCATGCTTATATGCAATTTTTTTTTTAAACATTTATTTAATTTATTTTATTTTAAACAGGTTTTATAGCATTAATGTTATAAAAACTTAACTTCATAAAACAGCAACAATAACAGCGTCACGAAGTTGTTTTATATTGACACAAACTCTAAACTTCGCTGTTTATTTTATTACTAGCTTTTTACAATAACAATTCGGTACTGCTTAAAAATAACGTGTTTTATTGTCAGCGTTGAACAGTTTAAATAGTTTTCTACAACTAATTAAAGTGATTTAAATATTGTAATATTTGCATTTTTACTTTTGCTTTTTTAAGTATCATGTTAAGTAAAAACAATTACTAAAAGTAATATCGTAATAGTATTAAATACTTTACTTGCTTATTACATCATAACTTGCTCATTACACTAAAGTAAAACTTAAGCTGTAAATTATAACAGTAAACTATGCTATTTTAAACTCTACCAAACCAGAATATTAATAGATTATATTTTAAAATGAGAGATAGTATGTTAAATAGACAACTTATTACAAATTACGAACTTATGTTAAAAAAATACAATTTTATAGTAACAATGGAGGATGAGGGGGGGGGGGGGGGGGGGGGGGGGGTGAAATTAGTTTTTTGCAATTAGATTTTTTTTTAATTTAAGCCGAGTTGGAATTTTTTGAATTACCTGGAAGCAAGAAGATACATTAGAAATGGGCAAGAACTTCTTAAGAAGTAGGACAAGTCAGGAAGCTAAATTTCTTAGCTACAATGAAACATGGTCATTAACTAACGGTTATATAACATCAAACAATGGTGATAAAATGTCCAAAAAAAAAAAAAAAAAAGTTAAAAAACATGAAAAAACTGTAGAGCTTCTTGAAAATTACAAAGAACACAATCGTCTAATAACTCAATAACTCTAAACACAGTCGATTTTTTGGACTCAACAAGAAACAGCTGATTAATGAAATTTCGTACCTATGCCTGATGATAGCACCTGAAATCAAACAAGGATGATGAAAAAAATTAATTCTGGAAAACTCAAAAATGGTGAATTTAACAAAAAAGATGTTTCAATCATAATGCAATAAAAACAAAAAATGAACTCTTGAACAACATTGATAAAAATATTCAGTTCAGTCCTGGAAGAGAGAGTGTTCATTCATGTGATAGATGATTTTGATTATTAAAGTGGTCCAAGTTTATGATTTTTAAACTGTTTGCAGAATTCTTAGTTCATTGAGTTGATTTTTGAGTTAAGTTCCTTGATTTAATATTGGATTTAAACCTCTTTGTTTTTAACGGTGAAAAGTCCAGATTATTACAATATTAGGCTTGTGATACTTTGTATGCAGAAACAACTGCAGAATTGAATTCAGCAACCTGAAAAAAGAGATATTGGAGGTTGTGACTTAAGTACTTGAGGTTTGAGAGCATTTTGATAAAAATGCACTTTTCTAAACAAAAAAGTCATATTAGCTGCTATCTTTTTCTAAAATTGAATTCTGCATTAGATTTCGCCTCAAAAAACACACTAATTAACTTGTACTTTTTCTAAAAAAAAGTTTTTAATTTGTCATCTTGATAAAGATCTTATGAATATTTAGAGGTTTTCCTATATAAAGATCTTGCAAATATTTTACAGTTTTCCCATATCGAGATCTTATGAATATATAGAAATTTCCCCAGACTTATAAGATTTGAAAGATTAAGTATTAATTCTGCTTTTTACTAATTTAAGCAAGCTCTGCATTTTATCAGAGTATTTTTTTGACACTTAATAGCACACTTAATGAATAGAGTATTTAAGTGAAATTAAGCATAAATAACATTATAATGCTTCTTCAGCATAAAACTTATTACTTATTTATATATAACATCATGAGTAATTCTTAATTTTAAGCTAAAAAAAAACCAATTATTTGAGGTCATTAATAGATTTACATATAAAAATTTACTGAAGATAAAAAAACATATTACTACTCTATAGCCACTAAGTAAATATTTATTGTTTTTAAATAAATACATAATTTACCTTAATTGGGTAATAGCTAGCAACAACAACCACAGCTCGCAGAACAACATCTGCATACACATATGAAGTTGTTACTGTTGAGTATCCAACCTTTATAGCTTCCAAAGATATTGTGGTACAACCTTGACTAGGTAGATCTAATCAAAACAATAAACTTTTAAAAATTAAATAAAACTTTTTGGATTAACCATTTAAGATGTTAAGATTACTTACATAAATTACAATAGATTAAATTATTACTTTTATAAAATCATTATACTTTTTGCAAATATTCAAATTTTAAATATAAAATAAAATGAAATAATAACCCAGCAAAAATTTTGACTTTTTTTTTTTAAAACTTTTAAGTAGTTGCTATATATATATATATATATATATATATATATATATATATATATATATATATATATATATATATATATATATATATATATATATATATATATAGAAAATTTGTAATTTAATTACAAATAATTTATAAACAAAAAACGGTTTCAATAACTCATTTGGGTGTCAATTTTTTTTTTTTTTTTTAATTTCAACAGCAAGGTTACTTTTGGTGAAGAATTTTATGAAGATTTCGAATCTGCAAAAAAAAAACTTCTTGCTGGGTGAATGAACTTTATGAGTTTTGAACAAAAAAATGACTAAATTGTGACTAATTATAAGGGAAAAATTATAACTATAAAAACTATAAAAAAAAATTCTAAAATTTTTGACTAACTCAATAAATCTTATGTTGAATTAAGAAAGTTAATTAACTGGTTCCCAAAGTCATAAAAATAAATACAAAAAAGAAGTTTATGTGAGGGGTATTTTTTTAAAAAATCAAGCACTTTTTTCATATTTTAGACAAAAAATGTTACGGTAAAGTATATTGTTTTGTTTCCATTTTTATTAAACTTTGAAAGTTAATTCGGTAAGTTTTGAAGTTTAATGCGGTAGTGGTGTAGTGGTAGAGCGCTCGCTTCATAAACGAGTGGTTCCGAGTTCGATCCCCACCACGTCCCTGGTAGTACCGCGCTCAACTCGTTTCTCCGCGCAGCGGCCTTGTTCGTCAAGGTTCGTGTTTCGGAGTTATAGAGTTGAGAGAGGGTTATAGCCACATAATAAGTAGCCTCCTCGTCTGTAGTGGCCTTCTCGGCCTTGAGGAGGTGAAGTAAAATAAAAAAAAAAAAAAAAAAAAGTAAGGGAAGTTCATTTTTGGAATTTTACAGAGAGGCTAAACCTGAAAAAGTAAATAAAAATAAAATATGCCTTGTTGGAACGAGCGCTTAGTTTTCAACCAAAAAATGACTAAAATATGAATAAATAAGGAGGAAAAATTTTAAATTAAAAAAAAAAAATTTTTTTCAATTGTTTGATAAACTCAATATAAACTTGAATGGTGAACTTTATGAAAATATCACATTTTGTTAAAAAGTATATATAAAAAAAAAAAAACACATAATGGGGGCTTTTGTGAATGTTGCTTTTAGAAAAACTAGTCGATTTTTTTATGTTTTAGACAGTGAATGTTATCATAGGGTGTGCTTTCTTTTCTAAAACTATTGATAGTCAAACACTTTATTCAAAATAAACAGTATATTATTTACTTATACCTTTGTAATGAATAATAATACTGATATCTTTATTAAAATCAACATGTAATTAACAATTATTAATTTATAAATTTTATTTAAAATTTGTGAGTTCAACTAAGTTATATTTTGCATTATTTGGGCTCATAAAAGCTCTACTGATTTCCTGTGCTCTTATATATCCTACTCTCTTCTCGTGGAAATTTTTACACAACAAATATAATTGGAATAAAATATGCAGAGGTCCCACTAATAAAAATATGCAAACAAAAACTTTGAAAAAGTAACTTTAGGTATACTAATTATTTTTTTGCAAGACAAAATACTAGATGATCTATCGACTAATCAGGCTTACGAATACAGAATAAAATCTGAAGTGTTACCTGAAAAATTATTAAAACTTGAAATAGAGCTAGTTTCTTATTTCAGATGGCTTACTACAGCTAACCATTTTTAAAGATCTTGGGTTTTAATTTATAAAGAAAATAACAGAAAAAAAACTCAAAAATCTACGTTTAACTATTAAATTTGTGTGCATATTCCTTGCTGATTTCAAAGAAAGGTAAAATATTCCTGGTTAGATGGACTTCAGCATATTTTATTCCAATTAAAACAACACAAATATCAAAAAGAAGAAAAAAAAAAAAAAAGGTTGTTGCAATAAAAAAAAAAAAATAATGCAAAATAATGTTGCAAAAAAAAAAGAAGGTTGTTGCAATAGAATGAAAACTGTAAAGAGATCTGCATGGTTTGCAATTAATGAATTCAAACTCTTTTTGTGTTCCAAATAATGAAGAGGAATAAAGATTAGGAGCGAAAAAAGATGCTAGAGATTAGTAACGAAGGAGATGATAATATTCAGTTTGGAGAGTTTCAATAAGAGTTCCCAAAACCCCATGCATAAATACTGATGCTGATAAATTGACCAATCTAATTAAGTAGAAAGATTCAATATACGAACCACTACTTACCACAGGTCTCACAACCCATTAAGTCAGAAAAATATTTTCACAAGACTATAGTTGTTTCAGATTAGCCATGCCATTCCCAATCCATCAAACACTGCTTTAAGCAGGTTTCTTTTTTATACAATTACAAGAATATAATAACTTATTTAAAATTTGTTAGTGATTAAATTGTTTTTATTGTTTAATATAGGTTACAGAGGCTTGTGTAAAAACATAATTTCATGAGAAGCGAGTAGGATATATAAGAGCACAAGAAATCAGTAAGGGTTTTATGAGCACAAATAATGCAAAATATAACTTAGTTGAACTCACAAATTTTAAATAAAATTTACAAACTATTATTAGTTACACGTAAATTTGAATAAAGATATCAGTATTAATATTTATTATAAATGTATTAGTATATAATATACTGTTTGTTTTAACAAAAGTGTTTTATTTATCATTAGCTTTAGAAAAGAAAGTGCATTCTAAGATAACAATCACTGTCTAAAATATGAAAAAATCTACTGATTTTTTTAAAAGCAACCTTCACAAAAGTCCCCAAAAGTCCCAAAGTTTTTTAGGTAAATACCTATTTACCAGTAAATCGATAACCGGTATTACAATCCCAAACTGATACTGGTAACCTAATTCAAGTGTTTTACCGGTAAATTGTAATTTACCGGTAAATCAAGCTTTTTGCTATGTAAGGATTGTTTTATTTTTTAATTGCTAAATATTTTTATCTAATAAATATTAAATATTATTTATTTTCTTATCAATAAATTAAAAATTAAGAATATAAAAGTGTTAAGCAGAGTTTATTAACAAGGCCAAAAGTTACAAGGACAAGAATTTAAAGGTCAAGGCCACAATTAAGAGTTTTAAAACCGAGGCCTACGCAAACATTTAAATACCTAAGACTTTAATTTTTACCTTACGTTAAGGCCAGTTATTAACAAAACTGTAAAGCAGCAAGTACTGTGACACTACAACCACATTTTGTAAAAATAGACAGTTTGCATTTTACCAACTACCTTCTTTGCCTAAGATATGAAAAAAGTGCTTGATTTTTTTAAAAAATATCCTTCACAAAAACTCCTTTTCTGAATTTATTTTAATGACTTTTTGAATCAATTTTCTTAAAATTCAACATAACATTTATTGAGCTGATCAAAAATTTTAGAATTTTTTGTTTTTTAAATTATAGCTTTTCCCTGTTAATTAGTCACATTTTAGTCATTTTTCTGTTCAAAAATACGCTGACCCACCCAGCAAGAAATTATTTCTTTTTTTTTTTGAAGATTTTTATAAAATTTTTCACCAAAAGTAAATTTGCTGTTTTTGAAATTGAAAAAAGAAAAAAAAAATCAACACACCCTACATCTCAACTCATGCGCTGGCAAACTTACCCCAAAAATTTAACTTTTCTGTACTACTATATTCATGCAATTAACTGATGATTTTTAAATTAAGTAAAAAAATTAAAAAACTAATATTTTCAAAATTTTTCTATTTTAAAATTTTTTTTCTCTATATAATATTTCTATATTTAAAAATTTTTTTTCTCTTTAAAACTGCCTAAGTTCGGTCACCATATAACTTTGGTAATTTAAGAAAAAATATGAAAAAAGCATGCAAAACACAAATTTTACAAAAATTTTTTCTCAAGTAATATTTGTAATTATTTCATAAATATGAATCTATAAAATATTTAATAATATTTATATGCAACCTGCTGAAATAATTCTTTAGCAAAACAACAATTTGAAAAAATGCATATTATCAAAATCTAAAATAAGCAAACTATTAAAATAAATGATCATATTTAATCTTATCATTATTAAGAATCGACAAATTAATTATATTTACTAAAAAAAATTATTAATTTTTAAAAATTAACTTCTTTTTTTAATAAAATTAGTGAAATTTTTAAAAACTCTAACTTTGCTCATTCATGGATAAACAACAGAGACAATTAGCAGTAATATTGTGAAATATCGATAGGTGTTGTGAATGTAAAGTACCTGTAAATTTGCCAGTAAATTTTGACATTTTTATAATTGATACACACCATGGTATTTTATTTGAATAAAATATTTTATTATAATTTCAATGGTTCTTTGAGTTCTAAAAAATATCAAGCTTGTGACATTTTTTTTGGAGATAAAACCAATGCTCAACGACAATTATGGATGCGATGCGAACCCTGTGACGATTGTATGTGTGGATCTTGCTGTTCTGCTATGGTCAACAAATATAAAAAACTCATTTAAAGCAAATTAGTGTTTTTTTGTTAATTGAAAAAAATCTTTTTAAATTAACTAAAAAATATATTTTTAATTGTATTAACCAGTGGCGTAGCAAATGTGATTATGTCTAAAGTAATAAAATAGTTAACTAATTACAATAAAAATTCAAAATACTATTACTTATATTTAAAAAAGCCTTTTTTTTATGTGCTCATTCTAGTTTTATTTGGTGCCCCAAAAGACTTTTTCTTTTGAGCCCAGGCCAACACCCTCTTTAGTTACTGGTATTACCTGAATTTATACCGTCATTTTGCAAAAAAAAAAAAAAAAAACATTTAAAAAATAGTTTTCATTATTTGTAACATTAAGTTTGTGATACGATATTAGTATTTATATAATGGACAAACTTATGAAATGGTATTGAAAGTTCAATGAGATTGAAAGTAGACGCATAAATATTAAAATTTTAATTTTTTTTGCTGAAACATACAGAAAACTTTATTGATAATTGATATTGTAAAAATAAAAAAATGAAAAATAAAAACTTAATTAAATATTGAGTACTAGTTTTTATTTTACATTTTTTTATTTTTACAATATCAATTATCAATAAAGTTTTCTGTATGTTTCAGCAAAAAAATTAAAAGTTTAATAAATATGCGTGAAATATAAATGTTCAAAGCTTAAATGACCGAACTTAGGCGATTTCACGTTATTGGAAATTTTATTTATAATAAAATTTTATTTTATTATAAATAAAACTTTTACATCGTATTTATTTTTAATTGTTTTTATATAAAACATTCGAAAAAATTATAAATTAATTATGAATAATTAATGGTATCATAATTAAAACTATTACTAAATAAAAAAAAAGTCAATTTCTTATCTAAATTACAGATATCAAAAAAAAAAAAAAAATTACTTTCACTTTGTATGTCTGCCAGTTTGAACACAGAAGGATCAGAAAATGTTGTTTTTAACATTATTTTTCGACAATCGGTGAATGAAAATTTTTCTCTATCTAAAAAAATAAACATATTTAAAACGAAAAATAAAAAGCAAATCCAAAAAAATCTTAATTTGTGTGCAATTAGCAACCATTTATCTCATAAAATGTTCAATGATGTGGAGTCTGGAACCTACATTTCTAAAAAATTTTTAAGATTCTGTAATACCAAAAAGAACAATACAAAGCTTATTCAAATTAAATAAATGCTTTCAAAAAAAGGTTGCATTTTATTAAGTAAATTTTTTGAGTGACATTGCTGCAACACATAAAATATAAAACTTATTAAACTTAAGCCCTACACATAACGTGCAGAGACACTATGAGATATGTGCATAGCCAATAGATGCCAAATAACATACAGTATGGCAGATACACGCACATGCAAAAACTTAAAGGTTTGAATCTGGAGTAGGATATTTAATACTGGACAGAAACCTGCTGTTATGTTTGTAAGGGGTTATCTATAAATTACATCATGATATTATTAACCACTTTTGACCTCTTCCCTCCTTGTCACAGCATAGTAACTCTTTAGTAAAAGGCCATGTATGAGTCGTCACAAAACCACTAGCCCCTTCCTCTCTCTCCCAGAGTGAGTAAAGAAATATAATAGTGAAATATCAGTACAAAAGCTGGTATTTAAAAAAATTGAATAAACTTTTTTTATTATGTAAAATGCAAAACAAAAAAAAAATAAAAAAGTAATAACTTTTTTCAAAATAATAATAAATTTACATATCACAGAAAACATAATATATTAATAAAAATTTACATATCACAGACTACTAAAAATAGCTTTTCAGAATCAACACTAGAAGGTTAAACTGTTAAAAGATCCACAAAAGATGTGTTAAAGACATTTACTATACACAATTTCAAACTATCTTTTTATCCTTTTAGTTTGCGTGGTTGTGTTGCCAGTATGTTCTGGTTTTTCCTTGCAGCCTAATCTTTTTGTTTACAAAAGGCTTTGTATAATTTTTTTTTAATTTATTGACCCTTTATGTTTCATAAACTTCACTGACTCGAAATTTTAAATTTTTCAAGCTTGGTTCTCAAAGGCTGTACTTTGTATTTGAAATCTTTTCTGATTCTTTACAATAGACTGGGAATAATGGTTTTTAATATGCATAAAAAATTCTTAACAGTAGAATGGAAATAATGATTTTTAATACACATAAAAAATTACAATTTATTATGCAAATCACAAATTGGTCAGATAATTCTTAATAAAAAATTCTTTTATTAACTATAAGGCACTTAATAAACAATAAAAAACTTGTAATGCCTTTTTTTTCTACATAATTTCAAACATAACTTTAGTCATTAAGTTCACAAATAAATTGTCTTCATCACAACATAGTGATTCATCTGCTAATTTTACTGCAAAAGCAATGAGGTCGTGCCAAACCTTATATGAAAATTAAAAAAAAAAAAGTTTAATTCACTATACCGCAGAAATCATGCTTTAGGAAATGTCAGAAAAATACAAACAAAATCAATATTTAACATTTAGAGCTGGCACATCACACTTGAATATTTGAATAAATATTAACTTCTAAAACAAATTAAGATGTGTTAAATAAATACTAATGTTTATCAAATAATATTAATTACCTTGAGAAAATGCAAAAATACTTAATGGCATTACTAAAATTTTCCCAACTTCAACTTCTACAACTGTATCTAAAAATACAATTTCCTCTGGTTGCAAAATCTTTATTAGAGATGCACCAAAATGCAAAGGATTGCGCACATCTCTGGCTTTTACAAGTATTTCTCCAATCAAATTTTCTGTAGAAATCAAACCACGGCTATTAACTGAAACAACAGTTTTATTCATTGAAGACCATGAGTACACCCCACTACCACCTTTAGCCTTTTACAAAAAAAATAAAATAAACAACAATTAAAAAGTCAAGTGATATAAGAAGTGAATTTGAAACAATACAAAATAATATTTTATTTTTATTACAATAAAACTTACCATAAGTTGAAACCTATAGTAAGGTTGACCATGCTCTGGATCCCAAGGAAACACTACAATTTCTGGTGTAACAACTATTGGATCATATATCTCAATAACTTGTTCACCATAAACATTTTTTGTTCTTATAAGATCTTTTAAATCTTGCTAAAAATTAACAATAAAGATTCCACATTTAAAAACACTACAATTTGATAATAAAAGCAATAATAACAATATTAATAAAACTAATACTACTAATAATAACATTAATAATAAAAATAATAGCAATAATAATAATAATAATAATAATAATAATAGCAATAATAATAACAATACCAAAGCATGCAACAAAGATACAACATAATTTAAAAAATTTATTTAATGACTTCATAGCTTTATATTTTAATATCTATTTCATAAAGTATTAATCTTTAACCTATAATAATCTTTTTATTTAAATTTATATATAAACATATCTTAAATTTATATATAAACATATTATAAATTATATACACACTTACAATGTTTTAGATCCACACTATACTAATATATTATACTAGCTGACCTGACCAGTAAAAATACAGATCTTTGTAAGTCTATTGCAAACCAACCTTCTCTATACTTTTTCTATATATTTATTTATATTTTCTTATATTTATTTATCATATATATATATATAAATATATATATATATATATATATATATATATATATATATATATATATATATATATATATATCTACATATATATATATATATATATAAATCAAAAATTGGGTTTTTATCAAACCTACCATTTCTATACATATCTATGCCACATCTATCATTTCTATACCTATTCATTATTTACTTTAATATCTTTTAGTAATATAATTCATGCTTTAAGAGCAAAAAAATTAACATGCACACCTTTTCTATGCACATTAAGTTTATAAGAGATTTATAATTAGGTGCATTTTTCTCCTAATTGCATATTATCAATAGCTCAGTGATTTAGTGCGCTGTCATCAGTGTTGTTTCGGAGGGTTTAAGAACTCCTGGTAGCGGGAATTTTGAAATTTAATCAATCTGCTTATATATTTATAGCAAAAAAGATATCAAAAAAGATTTCTAATGTTTTAAAGAAAATTTTTTTTCATTTTATAGATTTATTATACATGATTGTTTTATATACTGCCTGCAAATTTAACAAATGCTTAAGACGTTTACACTTACAGATGTTTGTACATAACATTTTATAAATGGTAGAACTAAGAAGATCTTAGACCATTAAAAACTATAGACATGGCCTTAGCTATAGAACACAAATCTAAAAGCTATTAGATGAGCGTTTTATAGCTAAATGATATATCTGTATCAGTTTTATATATTTTTTTGCGATTGTATGCACCATAATCAAAATCGATCAAAAAAGGTAAGATAAAACTAACACTACTGCACAAAATCTTTAAAAATTTTAAGCATCAGTTTGTGCCAAAAATAACTTTGATATGTCCAGTTTGTTTTTGCATTTATCTTACATTTTTTGATTAATTTTGATTATGGTGAATACAATGGCACAAAGACATAAAACTAGTACAGGTATATCATTTCATGGATAAGAGTTTGTATTTATTAAAAAAGTAATAGTTTTAAAGAAATAACATAATAATATTCTAAACTATTGGTTGAATTGTTTATTTTAGTTTGAATCTAAATAATTATGCTCATTGAATCATTCGCAATAACTCGTGCTTTTTTTAATTCTTTTTAATTGCATCATAAGAGTAGAAAATTGAGATTCATTAAAGCAATAAAATCATATTTTTCATGTTCATATAATAAAGGAATAAATGTGATATAGAAAATCAACAATAAAATTATGGCTATTTCTTAAATGCTGCATTTTGTATTTATACCAGAACTAATAAAGACTTTTTGAATTTCTTTGTTATAATGATTATACAAATTATTTGCAGTTATGTTAATATTATTTCCATTTTTGACAAGAAAATCTACAAGATGTAAATTTTTTGTTTAAATAACTTCGAAAGCTTTATTTTTCTTTTACCATTTTTTCCAAGTTTACCATTGAATCTTTAGTTATTCAAATTTTCTTAAATTACACCACCTGGCAAAAGTTCAAGGTAGCTATAACCTAATGAGAATAAATCCTAATAACATTGTTTTAATGCACTTTCTATACACATTTTCTTCAGAATAGGCATTAAATTTCTTTGCATTTAGTATAGTTTGTCCGCATTTTGATCCCAGAAAGCTTTGCAAAAAGTTTATTAAATAAATTTTTAGAACCACAACGGTACCCTATAATCAAGAGAGACACAAATTGAAGTTTCAAATTTTCAACTTGGACAAGACAAAATGATTCATATTTTTTTAATCTTGTTAACTTATAAATACATCACAAAATAGACTTTCGTTCATCTTTTCATATAAAAAAAGCGCTGTGACTCTTTCTTGCATTAAATCTGATGTAATGGCTGCCATGAGTTCCATGTCAAACACGCTCAAATCAGCATTATTAAGTTCCTTATTAAACTATAATATGATTATTGTGAACTTAATGTTACTTTTTTTTTCACAGAGGTTTTTAAACAAAAGCAAGTAATGATGAAAATGTTGCTGAGGAGAACTTTGATAAATTGCTGCTGGTTTTTTTTATTTTTATTTTATAACTATTTTTATACTCATACTAATAACATCATAATAATCAAGTAACAGGCTGCGAAATTCTTTTGCCGAGGCCAAAAAAGCTGAATTTTAAACACTTAGTTATGAACTTGATTATTCACTATATATTATTGCTGAACTTAGTTTTAGTAGTATTACTATTAGTAGTAGTAGTAGTAGTAGTAGTAGTAGTAGTAGTAGTAGTAGTAGTAGTAGTAATAGTAGTAGTAGTAGTAGTAGTAGTAGTAGTAGTAGTAGTAGTAGTAGTAGTAGTAGTAGTAGTAGTAATAATGCTCATTGTTTGTGTCTGCACAAAACCTGTGGCAGCCATTGAATTCGAGAAAATAGCAAGAAAGAGTCTCAACACTTTTTTAAGAAAATTTAAACGAAAGTCTATACAAATATCTAACTCATAAATTTTAAGATACGGAAAAAATAAAGTTTCTTAAAGATTTACAATTACCTCTCAAGTTTTATTTGGAATACAATAAACTATAAGATAAACTAAAATAGTTTTGTATTACATTTGAAATAACAAAATTTTTTAAAAAAAGCAAGATGGTAATTTAAACTTGCCAAGTGGCGCCCTTAACTTTTTTTAAACCATCAAGGGAGTTTTAAAATATGTGTTTTTATTAAGAACATACTTAAAAATTTTAACTTTATTTTTAAAACAAAATATTTTAATAAATTTATTTTATTAAAAAAAAGAAAGTTGAAGTTACTCAATATAAAAGTAATGAAAAAACTTAAAATTTTGTAACTATTTTACCACGCCCCCATTAAACATTCTAAACCAAGTGTGCAACAATGACAGAATTTAGAAAACTATAAAAATTGTATTATACTCCATATAAAATTTTTGTACAAAATGTTTAAAATGAATAACAATATTTTGATTGTTATTTTAATTATAGTGGCATAGCTTATCACATATTGTAGGTTTTAAATTCCAATTAAACTTCAGTTTCTAATTTAGTTCTAAGTTAGTATTTATCTTGTTTTAAGATAAATACAAACTCTAAAACTGAAGATAAAGATAAATTAGAATTTAAAACCTACAATATGTGATAAGCTATGGCACTAAAATTAAAACAACAATCAAAATATTGTTATTCATTTTTAAACATTTTGTACAAAAAATTTGTTGAATTAAAAACTAAAAAAAAAAAAAAAAAAAAAAAAAAAGCAAATGTAAATTTTTGATATTGTGATAACTTTTGTGATGTTGTGATAACTGCTGATTATTTTGAAAATTATTGATATTTAAAAACTGCCTTTTAATGTATTCACAAAATCTTTAATGACAATATATTATTTTGATACAAAACACTGTCACAGCAACTCTTAAATCATTTGAATATTTTGGATGATCTGCTGACTTAGTGTTTATTGTAAAAACAAAATGTATAACTTTAATCTATAAATATAAAAAAATGCATGATTCTTTTCATTTAATAAACTGAAGGGAAATTTTATTGCCTATTCTGAATATAGAGTCCTTTTTTTAGAAATCGACAACTGAACTCTTCCACTTTGAAACCCATGTCATTGGCCATATCAGAAAAATACAAACTGCAACTTCACAACAACTTAGAAAATTAAACTTATTATTGAAACAGTAACTTTATTAAATTAAGACTTAATATAATGATGTTATACATTTACTTAAGAACTTCCCAAAAATTTAATAAATCAAAAGGAAATTCTTATTGTATCTAAATTGACTTTAAATCACAGTTAATAATTTTCTTAATAATTAACAGTTATCACTGAATTAAGTATTCACAGGTATCAAATAAATACTTAAAATATGAAAGAACTTAAACATTAATTTTTTGAAGCGTATGTTCTCATTGATGTGCCCTTATCTGTTCAAGAAAACATTGTTTTTTTATCTGTTCAAGAAAACATTGTTTTTTTATCTGTTCAAGAAAACATTGTTTTTTTATCTGTTCAAGAAAACATTGTTTTTTTATTAAAAAGATCATACTTATAAATAAATAAAAATTTTACTATGTTCTTTTTTTTGATTTTATTTTTTGTTTGTTAGTATAACTTTACCTTTATTATCTTGTATAATTTTTCATGTTTATCTGCAAATATTATATATTAATATATGTATTACAAACATTTTAAATTGTTTTTACAAACATTATAAGTTATTCAATTTTTTAGTTCTTCTTTGGTGCTCTACCAACGATCATGTTTACTTTGTCTACTGTAAGAGTTTAAAAAAAAATAAGTTTGTCGCAATCAAGGCAAGAAAAATTTTAATATTGAAAAAAAAAATAATATTGAAGTAAGGATTAAGTATAGAAAGGGTTGATGTGGAATAGATACCCAAGACCTGTATTTTACAGATACCCAAGACCTGTATTTTACAGATACCCAAGACCTGTATTTTACGGGTCATGATAACTAGTATAGTATTAATATAAATACTTTAGAATATTTTTGTTTTTATTTTAGAACTGTTGTCTCTTAAATACTTTTAAGTTTGCTTTATACTTGCTATACTTGAGATAAAAATAAAAAAATCGGTGCCTTTTTTTTATATTTTATGTTGTTGTATCAAACATAAAAACATTTTTCAACATGCATACAATTTCAATAGATATAGTCTAATTTCTTTTATTGAACACAATTGATAGTGTTACACCTGATCAAGAACTCATAATACTTCAACTATATGTATAAGATTAAGGTATGAAAGATTACATCATATGTATATTATAAATAATAACAATGAAAATGAATGCAAGAATGCTAAAACCTCAAATAGTGACCAAACAGGACTGATGACTTTTTACTCATTGAGTAAAAAGTTATAAAATTTTTGCAGCAGAAATTTGTTGAAACCGCAATAAACATTAAATTTTTAACTTCTATGTTTATTGCAGTTTCAGTCCTCAGAATTGAGAAAAACAAGGATAGTAATATATTGCTGACCATAAATGTTGTGTCATAAACAGGTTAGTAAAAATTCTTGCTTATTAGGTTTCAACATAAAGCATAGAAACAAGGTTAATGAATATTGTGACCTCAAACATTTTTAGGTCAGCAATTAGGTTGGCATAGCTGAATGACACTTTAATTCCAAGGGCTGCAGTTTATGTAAATGTTGGTTTAACTAATATTTTACAGGGTGGCAACACTTTTCTTGAGTTAAAAAAATAGAAATCTTTAGGAGATTTTTTAAGGATTTTAGAAGATTTTAGAGGGAAACTTGAAAAAGCGAATAAAAAAACTGAATTACTTTTGAGGGTTTTAAAATTTTATTTACATTTAAATATCATCCAAAAAATTAATAAAAAAATTAAGTTTAAGTTCAATGTTCTAAAGAAGATATAAAGTTCAAAAAACAAGTTTAAATTAAAAGATTTTAGGATTTTTTTTTTTTAATTGAAGTATATTTGAAAAGAATTTAGGTTTTTTAAAGAGAATTTAGGTTTTTTTAGGAGGTTTTTCAAATATTAGAATATTTTAGGATTTATTGAGAGTGGCCAACCTATTTTATACCACTTATAATAGAATGTTTGCAGAAGAACTTTTTAACGTACTTTTTGCTTATATTCTAACCTGGAACATTAGCTCTGCATAAGATCACAAAAAATAAGTTTAAAATATTTTAAAAACCAAAACATGAACTCATTTTTAATTTTTGTTAATGAAATCTTATTAGTCATTATATAAAACTTATTTTTAATTATAACTATATATTATATAGTTATATTATATAGTTTAATTATAACTATATATTATATATTATATAATATATTATAATATATTAACTATAAATTTTTTTTAAAGTAATTTAAAATTCAACACAGTTATTATCGTTATTACTAAAATAGAGTTTATGTAATTTAATAAAAGCAGCTTTTATTGGATATAACGATAATTCTTTTCTTTTTTCTTTAAATAACTACTTTGTTTTAAGGTCAATGTAACACGATTAGATTTTGCAAGTCACATGTTACACAAATTGACTTGGATAACCTAATTTTTGAAGCAAATGTTACACAATTCGATTAAAATGTTTAATCAAATTTAACACTTTATATCACGCAATTAAAGAATTTAACAAGTCATTAACTAGGTGATTAAAAATCAATTAATGGTAGATAATAAATTTTATTTTCAAGGCCTTTTATCTTCAAAAATCAGCATGGACATAAATTAAATAGATAAATTAAAACTTAAAAGAAAACTGTTAAAAAAATAATTAAAACCTGAATGCCTAACAACTTTGCTGTCATAACTGTTTTCCCAACCATGTTGGCTCTTACATAAAAATACGAGCCATTGTTTGATTTGCTTAAAACTTCAAAATATTCATTCGATAACATTGATTCTATCATTGTATTCTAAAAATATATATTTTTATTTTATTCAAAAATAAACTTAAATTTGTACTTTGATTTCAAAACATAAAATCATACATTGGTTATTTGAATAGAGTTTCCATCGTCATCAAACAGAAGAACTAGTAACTCATAAACTTTACCAACTTGTAACAACCAAAGCTTTCCTGGGTTTATAGCAAATCCTATGATCAAAATTAAAATTATATTTTAGAAATTAAAATTTAAGCAAATAAAACAGAAAAATATATACAAGTATGAGAATTAGTTATAATACATCAATAAATCAGTGTTGTAAAGCCTATACAATGTGTTCAATAAAAAGTATATAAAAGCAGTAAGGCGAAAAAAGCAAAAATTAAAATATCCATTATATTAGAAAAATTATTTACATTCTCTTGATAATGAACATTTTAAAGTTTTTTTTAAAAAAAAAAAATTTAAATTAAAAGTATTCTTTTAAATAAAGGTGATAGAATTGCACACAAATTTTATAAAAATATTAAATTTTAATTTTTACGTGTGTATGCATGTGTGTGCTATTATAGTTTGTTTTAAATAATTTTGAACTTCTGATAGCTTATCATATTACCTATTTTTCCAGGATCAACAACATGAACCAGAGCTGTTGGTAAACGAATCGAATATGCCTCAAGCATATCTTATTGGTCAAGTTAAGAAAAATATAATTCTTAAAAATAAACAAGAAATGAATGTATTGACAGATTAAAAAAAATTGAAATTTAATAACATTTTAATATTCATTTCGGAAATGGAAAAAAACAATTAAGGTTTGATTTTGAAGACGAAAAAATGAATAAATTTTATAGAAAAAGTCCTAACTAATAAATCCCTTAAAGCTCATTAAGATGTTAAAAGGAAAACCTAATAAAAAAAGCAAATTGATAACAAATAAAAAACCTACAAAAATTTACACAAATAACAACACTCAAAAAAAGAGCCTTATTTAAGATATACTTAAAAAAACTTTGACTAACATTAGAATATTTAGCTTAAAATAAAAACGACACAAAAAAGCATAAGTAAAATTAATATAAAAAACACAATTGGAAATAAAATCAATATAGAGAATAAACATTAGGAAAAAAGTGCATAACCTAACAAAAGATCAAAAATTGGCGAAAAGTTTAAAGGTTAAAACTAGTATAACCAATTAGTTAAAATACACTGTTTTATTAATTTTATTTGAGTACACTAACTAAAATAAACTTCAATTCATGATGCATAGGACACTTGCTTTTTAAGTACTATAATACATAAATATAAAATAATAATAAAATTATATAATAATAAAAATATTCCTATTATTAATTAGTATTTTATTAACAGATCAGATTTCAAATTAAATAATAAACAACTTCGCCAGGAGCTTATATGTACTATCGTGCGAAAAACCATGGGTATAAATGATTAAAAAACCATGCAAATTTCTTGTATCTATTACAAGATTTGTATTATATTATACTTTTATTGTACTCATTACTATTGTAGCAAATACTAAACATAACTGTATGAGTTTTATGAAAAGATACTGTTATCAATCAACTGAACCTTTGTTTGACCAATTTTCATTCCAGTAACACTAGCACTTTCATCATTTAAATGAGCAACAGAGTCATCTAAAACTTGAACTGTATACTGAGCAGAAGGCAATATTATATCTAAACAAAAAAATTACTACAGTTAAAAAAAGAAAAAACTTGCATTTGAAAATATTGTATTCAAAGTTTATAATCTTTATATATTGTACAATTTACCATTTTTCTTTCCCCTCCTCAATTGTAGTGCATTAAATTTAACAACTTGGTTTACAAGAATGTAAACGTTAGATGGATAAAGCATAACATTGTCCAAAACCGTCAATTTCACACTAGTGGGTTTAACATTCTAAATACAAAATTATTATATTAACACTTGCTGGTTTTAGCCTGTTGATTCTAAACTTAGAAAAAAAATAATTTAAATCCAAAATCAGCAGAATAATTTAAAACAAAAAAACAAAAAAAAAACAGATGAATAAAAAAAAAAAAGATAACAAACAACTATGTTTAGAACTTTTACTCTTAACTAAGGAGGAAAAAAAAATTAAAGATATTTAACAAAAGGCTAATGAGATTAAAAAAAAAAATTGCATTTAAAAGAATAATAAATATAAAAAAAAACGGTTAGCAGCCTACATAATAAACATGCGCATAAATAAACATGTGCATAAATAATGCAAAAACCAATATTTCCAATCCTGCATCTAGTAGCAAATATCAAAAAAAAAACTAAAAAATTCTCTTCTTGTCATACCACATTTTTTAATCTAGTAATTAACTGGTACCTTTAGTCAAGACAAGCTTTACATAAGAAAAATATAGGGTTTGTTGGTAAGAATAATAAACACCTTAGAGAGCATAAATTTCACTAGATATTTTACAGGGGTGTGTAAAATGTCGAGACAAATTGAAAAATATGAAAAATGAGAGAAGGGTTGAGATTATGTTGAAAATCATTTACCTTCAAATAAACTGAAAACGGAGTATTAAAAAACTATTTTCATTTAAAATAATTATTTTTTGATGAATTAACAGACTTCAGACGTTTATGTACACAAGTTTGTCGAAACATGTTCTTGTCAAGATTAGCCCATATCTTGGTCAACTTTTCTTCTAGGGCCTCTATATTTCAATAAGTTTTTCTTGACTTCATATCCTCTATCACTGACCAAATGCTAAACCTAGATTAAGGTCAGGTAATTGGGGTGCCACAAATCTGATGTCTAAACATGAGGAATTTTTTCTTGGAGAAACTTAACAGTTTTCTTGGCTTGATGGGCTGGAGCAGAACCCTGTTGGAAGGGCCATTGCTTTTGCATGAACTTTTTTTGGACCAAGGAAACAAATGCTTGCTAAAAAATGATATTTAGACAATGCAGATCTCTACGCGAGCCATAACCCTTGCCGGACCCCGTCTCTTTAGAATGGTTCTGTTTTCAACTAGGATGTTTCCTCTAGACTTTCCAATGGTACTTTTTGGTTCAGGATGAATAGTGAAGAACTTTTTATCTGTATTAACTACAGAAATATTGTGTCTGGTCCAATTAATTGCATGCTCAATTTTTAAAAATTTTTCTCGAGTTGCTTCACTAAGGAGCTGTCGTTAGTTTTTTACAAAACTCTTGATACCTTAATTTTCATGGATAAGTCTTTGCATTGTCTTGATATTCCAGCTTCTCTGGCAAGCTTTGAAAGTAGAAAGTTTGGATTATGTTGCAGCTTACAATCAACATCATTTCTAAGGTTTTTGTTCTTGCAGTTCGTTTTCAGCCAAAACTGTCTTCTTTAAAGATCTGTTATGATTTAGTAGACATTAGATCTATTTAATTGTCCGTTTATTTTCTATACAATGGTTGATTATTTTAGTCACATCTTTGACAGCTTTTCAATGCTCAATGAAATAATGCTTTGAACTCTTTTGACATTTTTTACTATAAAAACTGTAACATATTTAAAAAAACACTTCATAATTGCTGCAATTAACTTATTCTAAATTTTCCTACGTAAAATGTTCACATTATTACAAAAAATTTAAATGTTTCTCAACATCTTGCACACTCCTGTATAACAAGCTTTAAATAACTATCTGAGCCAAAGACTTTTAGATAAGAGTTATTTAATAACTGCAAATCAGATCATACCAGTTCAATCAAACTTGCACGACAGTTTTATTTTACTTTATTGCTAATACCATTCCTAGTATCATACTCATATAGATTGACATACAGAACACTGTCCAAGACACCAGGAAACAGAATTATATGTACGTTTGGCACACGATGTTCATAAAATAATTAGTAGATATAGCATAACATAGCAACTCAGTTATCACCACCTACCCTATATATAGGCATTCTTTTGATTTTTTCTATATTACACACCAATCTTTTGTCATTTAGTAAAGATCAGAATAATTTTTACAGGCATTTTCACATAACATTTATATGTTTTTAACACTTGTATTTGCTGTGATCTCTAAATATAACATTCAAATTTACCTGACAGCTCTGCTAATCATTTAATGCAATCATAGTGTAACAAAAACTAAATTGTAAAATCCTAAATTCTTAAATGACCTTTTTTAATTTTTTAGAAAAAAATCTCAAAACAAAAGGATTAGTACTTTTCATTATCTTCAAGATAAATATTAAATATTAAATTTGATTTTAAAAATTTTATACTAAAATGATATCAGTTTATTCAGTGAATGTGTATTAAATTAATTACAAACAAATATAAAATAAAATATTAAAACATATATAGTTAGTGAAATTTTATTGAACAGTTTGATTTTTATATATCAATTATAAATTCAGTTACCTTATACTCTAAATCTGAGAGCCTAGCAGACACAATTGCTTCACCAGTTCTAATTCCTTCCACAAGTGCACTGCATCCTCTGTAATGCTAAACAAATATAAAAATTACTTCTATACTAGTATTATTAAGAAGCTATTATCACTCCATTATTATTACTATTAAATATATTATTAAATTTTATTAGCCACTTATTTTGTTAACAACACAAGTGACAAATCAACACGGTCTCTAACCCTTTAACAGTGTCATTACTAAGGACAGTCTAACATTCTAATAACTGGTTCTAATCTTATTATCTCTTCCAATGAAAAGGTAGAAAAAACTATTTGTTAAAAACTATTTTATCCCCTATTTTGTCTCTCGAATGAGCTCTTTGTATCAAAAAAACAAGATAATCAACTGTCAAACATCCAAATCACTTTAAATTCAATTTCTTTCTTGAAATCTTCTTCTGATCCAGACCGCATTTTTTTTAGTCTTACAAAAGTGTTTTCACTAACTCTCATAAATACTCTTCAATATTATACTATTTAATTAGTGCTTAAAAAAATCTTTTTTTCTTGTCTGCTGGAAAATGGCATCTGTGGTTTCAATTTTTAAAAGAGACCATAGAGTTAATAGATTAACAATTAATAAAATAATTATTATTGTTTATATGATTTTTAAGATAGCATTTTACGAGCTCTTTAAAGATTTTTGACACAACAAAGGTTAGCAGAAAACACAATAGTTTTAGCAAGTAATAAGCTGATATTTGGAGAAAGGATACTATTCTAGAGTTAAAGAATATATATAATTTTGTAAATGGAATTGCAAAGCTTTTGGTACATGAATATTAAAAGATGCATTCCAATATAACATCATTTTAATCATTAGTGAAAATTTTTCAGATTTTTCAATTACAAATGTGTATTTTGAGAGATTTGAAATGAGAGTTCAGAAGATCAAATATTATGAATATTATATTAGGAAGAGTTTCAATAACTTAATTATACTTTTAAACATCAAGCTTAATTGGTAACTTTTAGCTGATTATTAAAATAACTGTAAACAAGTTTTTGGTTGTTCAGGGATTTATCTTTTTTGTGTATTTGCTATAAATATATATTTTTAAATTTATTGCTTAATTGTGTAGTTGAGCAGATGATATGCCAAGTTGATTATTTTGTTTAATTTTTAATTTGTTATAACTTTAATTTTAAGAAACACAAAGATTTAACTTTTTTCTTTCTTTTAATCAAAATGTTTGAAAGCAAAAGTTGGAAACTAATAGATAAAACATTCAGTTTTATGCAAAAATAATATATTCCAATCAATTGATGCAATAAGTTTAAATATTCAATCATTATCGCCATGCCGTAACAAAAAAAAAAAAAAGATTTATTTTTAAGTATTCATTCTGAAAATCAGATTCTCCAAGTGATCTTTAATGTTATCTTGAATAGCATTAGGAGACAAGATAAAAATAGAAGTAAATAACAATTCTAACATATGTGGGAAAGTAGGTATTGTAATATGATTTGTAAAGAAAATGTTTGGCTTTAATTAAATAAATTTAGCAGCTTAAGTTATTTAATTAGCATTTTTAGGTTGGTCCATACTAGTGATCAACCGAAACCAATATAAACCAAAAATTTAGGAACCAAAACTAACATTTTGATTTTACTGAAACTAATAATGAAATAATGGCAGAAGCAGGGCTGGTTTTGGCAATTATAGGATTATGAGTTTTGATTTTGGTTGGGTACATAGGGTCACTAATGGGGATTGTAAAATGCTTTTAAACAAAACTTTTTTTAAAACTTCTTTCCATTTTGCAAAAAAAAATTACTAAAAGCTTTTACAAAACCTTCAGTTTCTATTAAACTATTTAAACTAAATTTATTTTTATTAAACAAAATGTGAAAGATTCAAAATATTATTTGCACTGCAATGGTTTGGTTATTTGTGATTTTTATTAAACAAAATGTTATCACAAAATGTGAAAGATTCAAAATATTATTTGCCCTGCAATGGTTTGGTTATTTGTGATTTTTATTAAACAAAATGTTATCACAAAATGTGAAAGATTCAAAATATTATTTGCACTGCAATGGTTTGATTATTTGTGATTTTTATTAAACAAAATATTATCACAAAATGTGAAAGATTCAAAATATTATTTGCACTGCAATGGTTTGGTTATTTGTGATTTTTATTAAACAAAATGTTATCACAAAATGTGAAAGAATCAAAGTCTGGTGAGTATGGCGGATAGCAGATAATTGTGATTCCAGCTTGGTTAAAACAATTTGAGACAATTTAAGTTACATGAGATTGATCATTATTACAGAGAAATATATAATTTTGAGTGCCTGTTTTAGGTCTTTACTTATTTGTTTCACATATATAATATTGACTAGTAATGGTTTCTCCCTTTTCAACATAACCCAAACCGCACTTGTTGTTTTGAAGATGTGGAAAATTTTTTTTGGCTCATCAAACTGTTGCATCGTTTAATTGTTCTTGAACTTTCACACCACTGACCCAACTAGCATTAGCCAACTTGTATCCATATTGTCTCAAGTAAAACCACAACTCATCCTCTGTAATAATTTTACTTAGTCTTTATAGGCCATTTTTAAAAAGAGCTAAATTTTCTTTACATGCACAAACTCTGTTCTTGTGATCTTGATTGTTAACTTGCTGGGTATCTAACATGTTAGTTTCCTTTTCTTAAGAAAAATGTGAATGATTTCGATGATTGTAAAATAATTAATCAATGTCAGAGCTTCAATTATTACATGTGTTGCATGAGGATTTTCTTCAATAATGGCTGGCACACATTCAATATTTTCTGCTGTATACATGGTTTAAAGGTGCCCTGAGCAAAATTCATCTTCAAGACTCTCTCTAGCATCTTTAAAAAAAGTAGCCAACTTGGCAACTGTACTATATTTTGGCGCTTGGTCACCATGAACTAAAACCAGTTCATCGATTATAGCTTGTGCTAAAACTCTGAGTAGAGCACAAATTTTAATATATGCTACAATATTGAAATTTTTTCATTTTAAAATTTTCTGTTAAACATGTTTGATTTTTTTAAATACACATTTAAAATATTTGAACAAATAAATGATCATAATTAAATACAGTTTAAGATATGTAAATATTTAATCATTTCTTGTCTTATTTTTCGAGTAACTTTCTGAGTTTAAGAGCCACCTTGTACCTAGGTGACCCTAGGAATAAGGAAGTTCTAGGTACACAAACTTTTCCTAAAGGTGTTTTTCTCAAAATGTTTAGATTATTCTAAAAATTTCATAACATGTTTTAATTATTCAAAATATGAATCCAAATTTATTTGCATATATAATCAAGTGGTATGATGAAATACTGTGTTCATTAAAAAATGCCAAAAATGGTATTTAGTCTCTCCATTGAATGTTTGTAGTTTACAAAATGATGCTAAGCTTTCAGAGAAATTTACAGGAATTTTATTAGGATCTTTTAATGCTATTGAATTATATGATATTTTAAAGAAGATAACCATTACCACATTTTGCTTGTTAAAAATACTAAACTTTCTAATTGATATAACCATACCTGTTCTTCTAAAGAATAAATTTCTTTTGTGGTATCATATGAAGAATCTTGAAACCATAACAACCTGAAAATAAAAAAAAACAAGTTCAAGAAATTAAATTTATTTGTTAAACTCCAGCAAAATTTGCTAAAACTTAATACAATAACTATTTATAACATCACTTTATATATACAGTTTAGTAAGCTTTTACAATTATACTTAAATTATACAACTTTTTTTAATTGTTAAAATAAAAAGATTTTTTAAATATTTTTATTAGCAAACAATATTCACTAATAATGATTAATTTTAAATTTTGAGCGGAGAGAAGCAAAAAAAAAAAAATGCTCTAACAAACCTCTATTATAATTATAAAAATTTCAACACAACTATATTTCATATATTAATTATACGATATAAGAGATCTTTAAAATGGTTTGTTTTTCTATCATCAGTGCTATTTTCCGCTTCTTAACACATTTTCAATTTTTAAAATATAGCCATATTTATAGCAAAAAAATAAATATAACAAAAAAGACTTTTAATTGATAAAATAAAACTTGAAAAGTTTTATTTTCTTTGTTTACGCAGCAGCTCCTTCTGGATTAACTGGATGAGTTATTATATTTTTTTTCTACTAAGTTTCAGACCATAATCTTTTTTTCAGACTATCCACAGCTTATAAAAATCCAGACTATCCACAGCTTTTTTAAAAGTTCTCTCATTTTTTTTTTGCTTTTATTTGTTATAGTATATAATAGAGAGTGGGGAGAAGTAAAACACGTAAATTTTTTTTTAAGGGTAATTGCGATATCTTTTTTATTTGATATATAAACTGAACCAAACAAGTTTTTAGGAATAAACCTTTTTAGGCACCGATTTGATCCCCTTAGGTTTCCAACCAATTATAACTATGTTTTTAGCTGAGTTGTTTCAAATTTTTTTTTCAAAAATTTATATAACTTTTGTATAGAGATGAGTAAAAAAGCTTAAAAAACAAATATATTACAAAAATATATACTTAACCTTGCATGTATGGAAAATGTTTTGAATATCGGGAAAAACAAAAAATTAAGAAAAATATCAGGAATTCCCGAAATATCTGCAAAAAGATAATCCCTGAAAATAATTAAACAGAAACTGATAAAATCATAAAATCACCTTGTCAACATAAAATGTGCAAGAGCTTTTAACAATCAAAATAATCAAATGGTAACAAGAAGAAGTGGGGCAAAATGGTAACAAGAAGAAGTGGGGCATAAATATTTCTTTTTTCTGTCCAACTTCACCCCAATGTAAACACTTTTTTAAATACGTCTCAAAAATAGGGCTTTTAGTGCACACAGAGAAAGAAAGCAATTTCTGCTAAATAGAGGGAAGAAATTTAATTGTTTACATTAAATAACAGTAGTTAGGCACCACTCCTAATTAGAAATTTCAGGCTGTCCCACTTCTCTTGTGTCCAACTTCTCCCCACTCTTCCCTATCATTATATATGTTATGTATATAATATTTACAGAACATCAAAATTGTTTTACTTAGCATCAGAGTTGTTAACAAGGCCAAAAATAGCAAAAGCAATATGTTACAAGACCAAGGTAAAATTATGTTGAGCAAGGTAAAATTATGATTTGCTCTTACTCTTCTAAAAAAAAAAATTTTTTTGAATCAATAACTTTCATAAATTTTGATGAGGTAGATAAGGGTAATAAAGCACCATAAATTTGTGGTGCGAAATTTTGATGCTAAAATAATGAAATTTAAATATTTAAGAAAAATATGTTAGCTAGAAATGTATCCCATTTTTGTTTGAAAAATGATGCATAGAAATATTTAGTTTTGACTTTATTTAAAGATAACATTTTTGTGTAATTCATATTACGCATGCTCAAATTACCCTATGTTTTTCATTGAAATTACCTAGTTTAAATTACACTGGTTTTAATTGATTTTTGAATAAAAAAAAAACATAGTAAAATCTTTTAATATGTTAACAATACTAAATATCTTTCTGTAACTTTAATTGAAAAAATTAGTGATTTTAATCCTTAAAGGTTTGAGTTAATAAAATTGAAAAAAAAAAACAATTTTTTTTTTATAAGCATAAAACAAACTATAATCGTTTCATAAATAATGGCTTAAATTTGATCTATTTGTAATTTTTTTTGAAATTTTGGATGCGCAAATATTAAAGTGGATCCTTAAAAATTATGTATATTTACAAAAACTTTGAATTCAGCATAATTAATTTTAAAAACATTCCAATTTTTGCTTTAGTTGCTCGTAATACTCTAATCTACCCTAAATATTAAATATTGTTGTTTGTTTTTTTAATTATTTTAATTTAGATCTTAAATAAAATCTTTGTTTTGATATTTTTGCTTTAATTATTTTTGTTTAATAATAAAATTGTTCAATAACATTGTTTATTTTATTTTTTGTTGTTTCTATTTTATTGCCATTTTTATTTTAATTATTATAATTACTATAACTATTATAATAATTATTAATCTTAAACTTAAATATTATGTTTGCTATGACTTTTTTTTTCTTTTAATTATTTCATTTAGAAATCATTTAACACATTTTTTCTCTTGTTAATTTTAATTTAAATAGCAAATTAGAAAGAATTTATTAGAATTGTGCGTGCCAGCCTAAAAATGACTATTTGGCCAGGTAATTTGTGCACTGACATTAACTTTTATACAGAGAAGACTGATATATATATATATATATATATATATATATATATATATTTACATACATATATATTCACAAATATACATATATGTATATATATATATATATATATATATATATATATATATATACATATATATATACATATATGTATGCATATGTATATACATATGTTTATACATATATACATACATACATATACATACATACATACATACATATATATATATAAATATATATATATATATATATATATATATATATATATATATATATATATATATATATATATATATATATATATATATATATATATATATCAGTGGTGTACACTGGATTTTAAGATGTTTGAGTTTTGACACTTAGAGGCATTTTGCAAACTCCAAACTTTTGTATGTTCATATTTATGTTAAATGAGAATGTTTTGCAAAAATTTGTGGTGATTGGAGCTTGGGGACAAAAAAAACAAATTTTCTAGCCCACCCAGCCCTTAACGTGGGAGCAAAAAGTTGATAAAATAATTTCTTTAGTATTTTTATTTAAATTCATATTGATCAACGAATTTCAAATTTCATGCAATAACCTTATAGTTTTTAGTTTTTATGACCCAACAAAGTTTACAGCCCCCTCAAATTGAGGGGGTTTAAAACTTTATATGGTCATAACTTTCGAAAAATAAGAAATTATTGAATGAAATTTGAAATTTGTTGATGAATATAAACTTAGATAAAAATACTATAAAAATTATTTTATCAACTTGTTGCTCCCACGATAAGGGCTGGGTGGGCCCAAAAATTGGGGTTTATTTGTCCCTAAGCTCTTATCACTGCAACTCTTTGCAAAACATTCTTATTTGACATAAGCATGAACATACAAAAGTTTGGAGTTTGCACAATACCTGTAAGTGTCAAAACTCAAACATCTTAAAGTCCAATGTACACCACTGTAATATATATATATATATATATATATATATATATATATATATATATATATATATATATATATATATATATATATATATATATATATATATATATATATATATATATATATATATATATATATATATATATATATATATATATATATGTATACATATATATGTATATATATATATATATGTATATATATATATATATATATATATATATATATATATATATATATATATATATATATATATATATATATATATATATATGTGAATATATATATATATATGTGAATATATATATATATATATATATATATACATATATACACAGTGCATTAAAGGTACTAAACAAGCATTTTATAAGTAAACACCAACCCAATCATTACTTACAGCATTGGGAGTAAATTTGTGATAAATAAAAATCTAGCAAAAAAACTCACTTAAGAATAAGTCGAGGATCAACCTGTTGATTAGTAGATGCAGGCAAAAAACTCCATTCAAACTTCTGACTACCCAATGAAGAAAATAAATTCCCTGTAGATAAAGTTATTTTTCATTAATATGAGAAATATGAACTAAAGATAAATTATGTTATTTACAATATAAACAAAAGTTTTAACAAAACTATATAACACACTCTCAAAACCTGAAAATCTCTAATGCTCAAAAAATGAAAAATTTTAAAGGTTAAAAATAGTATATCTACAAGTTTTTAAAAAAAGAATTGGATTCTCTTTCTTTACATATATTTTGTAGCTGTTTGTTGCATATCTTTAAAAAATGAAAAACTCAATGAAATATCAAAGAAAATTTTAGAAAATGAGAATTTGAAATAGTTCTCACTGAAAAAGATTTAAAAAAAACGATAACTATTAACTAACAAACATTGAAATAAGATCTTAAAAACTAGAATTAATTTGGAAATGCAAAAAACTAAGTACATAGTTTAAAAATTAAAAAATATAAAATTTTATTTCTTTAAAGTAATAAATTTAAACTATTTCTGTGTTTTAAAAAGAAAATTTAAAAAACATAGCCCATTCTATGTTTTGCTTGATATTCGATTTCTTTTCATTGTAACAAATTCACTGGAAGTGGAAAAACTTTATTTTTTTTGTGTTGATGTAGGTTTTATTGTTAACAGTGTATCCTTGAGTAGTTCTAAATTTTTGTTCTGGAACCAGTTGTTTAAAAAATATTGCATTCTTGTCTTTTTTGTGCTTTTGGTAATGCTATTCAAAGTATTAATTTCTTTAACAATGTCTTCAATTGATAAGTTTAACTGTTCTTGAAGAGATAACTGTACTTTATTATAAAGATAACTGTGCTTTATTACAGAGATAATTGTACTTTATCACTAAATTCTAATTCCGCTTTAGCATTAACAAAATAATTGTTTTTCTCATCACTCTTTGATTCCAAGCAATTGGAGTACAATTTATTTAGTATTGCTTCCGCAGTTTTATAAAGATCATTCTTTAGTGCAAAAAGAGGAGAAGTGAGACCATCATTGTAGTCAGAACTTAGATTTTGTAAAAATTTATAAAATGATACAATATTGTTATTTCTTCTGATATTGATTTCTTCTTTAACATTCTGAAGAAATTCCTGACTTATTTAAAAATCAATTTCCTTTAACTCCCTAAATAAAAACTTTAAAGACCCTTCAGCAGTTAGCAGTGTGGAATCCTCTCGACTTAAACTCTTAATAGTTAAACTAACAGGCTCTAAACAAATTAATGTTTCTGCGATATTGACCTTTCCATAGATGACTTAAGTTTAGTTCAGATAAAGCCTTTTTAATGGTGTCCTTGTTTTTTTTTTAATGTTGTCCTTTATTCTTTAAAATTGTTTTAACATTTCCATTGTATTCCATCTTGTTTTGCAATCCAAAAGTAAAGCTAACTAAATTAGGTTCTTTCTCAGTTACATATCTCTGTAATACATCATTTTTTTATAGGAGATTTTTTTAATTTTTTTACAAATTTTTGTATACCATTAATTATACCTTTAGTCAAAGTATTTAATTGCTGCACTATCTGTTCCTGTACATTATTTTTCCAAATCAAATTCATTTTCTGAAAAATAATCTTCATCTTTAACATCTTCATCGGTATCAGTATCTTCATCTTCATCCAAATCATTGGTATAATAATTGTTTTAGTAACTGCTAGATGTAAAGCATGGTTGTAACATAATTGCGAATAAGCAGGTGACAATCTTCATAATAGCTACAATATCTTTGTCAAAGCATAGATTAAAGAACTTTAATCACAGATCAAAGATCTTTGCTGTTGAACAACTACCTTAAACACTTTTAAGTAAAGAAAACTCTTGATAAAATCAACTAAAGTAAAATTTTAAAAATGCAACCACAAACAAAAATTCTAAATTTAATTCTTCCACAGAAAGTGGAAGGCCAAGGCCAAAACATTCCAGGACAAGGCCAAAATGTTTAAGGACAAGGCCAACAATTTCAAAGCCAGGGTCAAGGCCATAATTTTAGACCTTAAGACAAGGTCAAGGCCAAAGACTAACAACTCTGGTTGACAGGGATGAAGTGGAACAGGTACTCACGACTTTAGCTTCTTTTCTTTGGAATTCTTGGACACCTTGTAAATGTTGGTATAGGCCAGTAGTTGACAAATTTTTGAATAACAGATTTTTGATGCAGAAGTTGCATATAGCAAATTCTGAATCACATCCTTTCTTTTTAAAATAATCCCACATGTCTTAATATGTTTGGCTCATTTCTATTGATTAAAAACTATTTATATAAGTTAATCGTCTAAATGATAAGGAAAAATCTACAGAAGAGTCGGGTTTACAAAGTTTATTGTAAAAACTTTTTATAAAAGTTATTTAATCTTTTATTGATTAGAAGAATTGCAGAACAGAAATCAAATTTAAAGATATTTAATAATAGTTATCATATCTTACAAAACATTTACACTAAATTATATACCTTACCTTTCGCAGATACCTTTAACATTACTTACAAAATAAGATAAATATCTAATAATATAAGATTACTTATAAAGCATTACTTATAAAATAAAAATGCCAACACGCGTTGCATAATGGCGTTTTTTATTTTATAAGTAATGTTTGAGAATTTAGAATTTACTCTTTTTTTTTTAAACTGGATATTATAAATATTATTTAAACCAAGTTAAACTTTCTTGATATTTATTTATAATTAAAAATCATAGTTACTTAACAGTTACAGGCATTAAAACAAAATTTACCAATATGACAAAACACTAACACACTTCTCCACTTGTCAACAAACATTTATTCCATTAATTCACCATATATTAGTAACATTTATGAGTAAAATATAATAAAAAGTTCTTATTATATTCCCTTTTATTATTTCGCTTAATATTTGAATTCATTTGAACTTTGTGAATTTAAAAGATATTTATTTGCATACCAACACCAAAGACAAAGCGGTACAATTTAAATTAAAGAGATAGCACTTTGAACTTGATGTTAGCATACCAACACAAAATTTTTAATTTTCTTAAGAAATATTATATAATTTCTCAAGAAATGAGAAAAATTAAAACAAAAATTTCTCGAAAAATAATTCTCGAGAATAAAAACTATAGAAAAAACAAAGAAAATATTATTTTTATTATTTTAACTTTTCCATGAAAGCTCAGCAAAAGAAAATAAAAATGTTATATGACGATTAAAAAGAGAAATCATAGAAGAAACATTCAAAAAACTTTTATTTATCATCTTGCTATATCAAGAATATTTATTTAGACAATTTCTCATAAAAAAGATTACAAAAATAATTACAAAACTTTTTTTTAAAATTAAAAATCAAAACAAAAAATTACAGACTAAAAAATAGTACACGTTAAATTTTATTTTATATCAAAGCTTTTTATGACATTTTTATTTTTTGTTTGTTTGTCTTGTTTTAATGATTAATTTTATCATAAAATAAAAAAAACATAAAAAACTTTAAACAGCATCATAAAAAAAGTTTTTTTAAAATTAAAAAAAAACTTTTTTTATGAAGAAGAACTTTATCATTAATTTTATTTGCTAGAATTTACGCTTGAAGCGATATAACTCTTGCAATGTCTTTATTTATATATAAAGTTTTATTTTGCTAAAAATAATTAAAAAAAATATTTTATAATACTTACATCATTAAATTGACAGATTGTGCTATATCAAAAAAGTAAAAACAAAAATTTTCTAATAATTTAAAAAGAATTTTGAATAGAAAAGTTTAATTTAAATTTTAATTTTCAAGTTAATTTAAAAAATTTATATTATTTTTTTCTGTTATTTTTCCTCTCTATTCTATTTTTAACAAAAATTTAAATTCCTTGTAAATATTTTTTAACGCTGAATGTTCATAAAGCATACATTTAACTTTTTTGTCATAAGGCAAGTGTAAGTGTAACAGTAAAAAAATTTTAATAAATGGTTCTCGGAAACTTAAATCTTTGCCACAAAAAAAAAAAAAAGCTCTGTTAAATTAATCAACTCGAGTTTTTTTGTTTGCAACAAGTAATATTTTTTGTTTGTTATTAATTTTTTAAAAGCAAAAATTTGCAAAGCCGCTATTTTAAAAAATATTGAAAAAAAAATTAACATTTAATTCTTTTATACTAATGTAGAGAAAAGAAAGAATTTAATTTATGTTAAATGATAAATTATGTTAAATAAAAAATGTAATATTAAGTTTAATTATATATTATTAAAATACAAAAAATATTAAAACAAAGTAGACATTTCATGTATTATGTACATTTAGAAAATAACACATTCAGATTTATCTTAATTAGTAAAATAAACTTGTTATGTTGTAATTTATTTAATTGCGGTAATTAAAAAAGCTAATGTCCTTAAATAAAAAAATATATAAAGATAATTTTATGACATCAAAATCACAAAGAGTTAATGTCCTAATCCATTTTTTATTTAAAACAGCCTGTAACAACCTTAATGAAAAACTCTAAATTAAAATATGATGAATAATATTTACTAAAACAAACAAAAAAATTAATAATAACCTTCTTTGTCATAAGCATAAACCTCAAATACTTCAGGTGATTCGCCAAGTAATAATTCACGCGTGGTGGTTGCTATTTCTATTTTATGGATAGTATCCACAAAAACATTGCAGCGAAGAGTTAATCCTGTTCCTTAAACAAAAACAAAAAAAATATAACAATACTAGCTGTTCTAAATAAATTGTAAAATAAATTTATGAATGGCAGTAAAACAACTAATGATGATATCATATCACCAGTGATATATCATATCACCAGTGATATATCATATCACTGGTGATATGATATCATATCACTGGTGATATTATAATATCATATCACTGGTGATATTATATCATATCACTGATGACATGATAATATTATATCACTGGTGGTATGGTAATATCATATCATTGGTGATATGATAACATTATATCACTGGTAATATGATATCATATCACTGGTGATATGATAATGTTATATCACTGGTGACAAATTTTTCAGTTTGATTGTTTGCAATGGTATTTAACCTTATTTAAATAAAAATATATGCATTCAAAATATAATTATTTTAATGTCACAACTTTAAAGTAGTAGTTAAATAGTAAATTCTTTTGATTAATATTTATAATCTAAAATTAATTTACTTAGGTATAAATTCAGCATTGCAAGTTTAGACAAACTTGCAATATTGAATTTATACCTAAATTAATTAAGTTAGGTATAAATTAAACAGCATTAATAGACTTTAAAATAGTTTTAGCGTAATCAAAATGAAATGTATATGAAAAGTTTATCTAAACATATTACAAACTTCTAAACACATAAATACCAAATAAAAAACAAACAAAAAAGCATTGTTTTTTTGTTTGTTTTTTATTTGGTATTTATGTGTTTAGAAGTTAATAAAAAAAAAAGTTGCAATAATGCTAAAATAATGTGTTTTTATTTTTATAGTTAAAAAAATTAAAACATGTCAAAATTCATTTGATAGTTTTTTTATTAAAAACTATTACAGATTTGTTTTGATTTTAAATTGCACTTTTAAAACAAATTAGTGAAATACTGTATGCGACCACAAATTTTGTATACTTTAATATATAATATATAATAGTTTCTCCTGAAGCCATTTTTAAGGCTATTGTGATGTATATGGTGGTGCAAGATATACTTGATGTGATTATTGTCTGGATTGGTGGGCATTGATCTAGAGCTTAACATGGTTATTCAGAAATTAAATATACTTATTGGTATCAACTTCCTGACCAGATTTGATGAAAACCGGAGCTAATTTAAGACCATCAGATGAAACCATTTTCTTCATTGACTTTACTCCAAGAAACTTGGTTTTTGATAAATTTAATTAAATGTGGATTTTAAACAGACCTCTTTAAACCACTCCCAAGCTTCCTCTTAACATGACTAATATTTAGAAAACGTTTAACCATTGTAGGCAGTACTTATAAGCATGTTTAGCATCTTACAAATATCTTTGATCATGGAGTCATTTATGGCCAGATTAACAACTGGTTTATTTTTACTAGTCATTTTCAGTTTAATTTTTCAGCTGTTTTTTCGGTTTATTTTTAAACTATTATGCACCAACAATATCAAACAATGTGCATAAAAATGAGAACAGAACAAATATTTTTAAAATACTTATTACAACTTATTATAATATTGTTAGTGACACACAGTAACTGAACTAATAATACAACTTTTAGTAGTCTAAAAAGTTTCTAGACTGCTAAAATGTTTATAATTAAAACCATACATTCTATATTTTACCAAATCGCAAAACAGATACTATTTATAGCTATTTTGGAGCCAGCACACCCTTGATCCTAAGCACCCTGAAGGCAATGTGAGTCATTTCAGAACCAGTTACACAACCTTGTCTACAAGGTTGTGTGTCTGGTTTGTTTCTGGACTATGAGTCTAAAAACCATATTGATTATTGAACAATAAAAAGATTTCAGTAAAAGAATTTTTATCATAATTACTTAACATTTCTAATAGCTTTATATTGTCACTATGAAACTATATTCATAAAAGAAAAAGTAAAGCTACCTATTATAGTTGCGTACACTATAAAAATTGAATAGACCTTAAAATTTGCTCTTCTCTGCATTAAATTAGATTGAAAAAATATATATCAGTATATCAACTAGCCTCCATTCCAAAATTACTGGACCAATCATAATGGTATATAATGAAGGACTTTCTAATTGTAGAGGACCCCCTTTTTTTTTTTTTTTAAACCGAAACTCTAACAAAGCCACTAAATTATATTACCAACTCAAAAAAACTGCCATAAAGTTATATCCTAATTTACACAGTAAACTAGAAGAAAAAATTACATATATTTATATCTATATATGCTGTTACTGAAAGCGTGTGCAGGTGAATATCTTTTCTATCCATGCACAAAATATTTTCTTTCAACTTAACCATGGCCTATTGCATGTTTTGAAATATTAGGCGTTTTAAAAATTTGCAGAACAAAATTAGGCTTAACTAAACATAAAAATAACAATTAACAAACAAATAGATAAAAAAAAGTTAATAAACTAAAATTCTAAAATAATAAAAACAAAACCTAACTAAAATAAAACTCGAAGACTTGGAGGAAATTATTTTAAACATTTATAGTTCAAGTTCGGAATAAATAACTTTAAAACTTTGATTTTTTTTAACTTATTTATATTGGGCGAAAGTCTTAAAAAAAAAAGTAACAAATCACTTTGGAGCAATGTTTATTGTTTCATCAAAACATGAATTTAAATTATCAAAGAATATTAGTATAGTTAGTTAATTAAGTTATACAAAGCCACAGCCTTGTTAAACTCATCATCAGCTAAGTATAGGCATCTATACCCAAACTTATGTCTAATTTCGCAGTTCCTGACAATCTTGCGATGAAATCTGATTCAATGTTGAGCTCTGGGTGCTATGCTGCCAGGCATTATGCGCCAATTAATTAGGTTTAAATTGTTGAGAAGCTTATATTTTTGAATAAAATAGCCTCTTTTCCGTCTGTCTTCAAGAGTAGTTAATTTCATGATTTTACATCGATTTTGCTATACAACAGGCTTGTATAGCAAACTCCAGATGTGGTCTAATATATACAGTATAAATTTTTTTCTAAATGTCAATGTCTCTTGATACAAACGTGTATTTAAGAATTCCAAGCATATTATTTGCTTTGTTTGCAGCTATATTGCACTGTTGATCATATTTAAGATTCTTGGAGATTAGAATTCCGAAATCTTTTTCTGAATTAGTGACTTCTAAAGCTACTCTATTGGTTGTACCGTCATTTTTGATTTCATCCAAATGTAATCAAATTTTATTGTTCCAGAGTTTACATGCATAACTTTACATTTTTTTTACATTTAACTACATTAGCCAGGTTTGTGCCCATTAACAAGGCAGGTCATTAACAAATATGACAAAGAGCGTTGGTCCTAACACAGAAACTTGGGGAACCCCGCTAGTTACATCAATCCAATCAGATTTTGATTCTCCAAGTATAACACACTGCTTGCGGTTTGTTAAGAAGGCTTTTATCCAGTTTAGAAAATTGCCATTTATACCATACATTTCAAGCTTTTGCAGCAATCTTACATGCGAAACTTTATCAAATGTCTTTGCAAAGTCAAGAAAAACTAGATCGACTGGTTTTTTCTTTGATTTGCTAAAAGTCAAAAAGTCCATTGTTTCTAAAAGATTTGTGATGCAAGTCTTATTTGAAACAAAACCATGTTGAGTTTTGGAAAGCAATTTGTTATTTACCAAATGATTGATTATTACTTGTCTAACTATTTTTTCCATAAGTTTGCATGGAACAGAAGTGAGCAATATGGGCCTGTAATTGGCTGGATCTGTTCTGCTACCATTTTTATAAATAGGTGTAACATTAGCTCTGAGCCAAGATAGTGGAACCTTTCCAGATTTTATTGAAAGTTGAAAAATCAAAGTTAGCGGAACTGCCATTGATATGGCACATGCTTTTAAAACAAACGGACTAATATTATCATCACCCATTGACTTATTTCCATCAAGCATATTTAGGTGTTTGAAAACAATGTTTTGGTCAATTTTTATATCCGAAGTTAAAACATTTGTTTTGAATTCAAAAGGTTTTAGTGGCTGGGTCAGTGGTTCCTTTGTAAAAACTGATTGAAATTGGTTGTTAAGAATGTTTGCTTTTGTTATTCCATCACTGCTCATTTGATTTAAAGCTGAGGTTAAAGCTGATATTTGGTTGCTCACTATCCGTTTACTATTAATATATGCAAATAGTCTTTTTGAATTGTGCTTGTCGTTAGCTAGCTCTGATTCATAGACACGTAATGCTTGTTTGCTATTTTTTCTGACCTCCTTTTTGATAGATGTATACTCTGTGATGTGTGCTGCACTTTTCTACTTTGAGTTTGCATTTTTGTAATAGAGCTTTTTTTTTAGTCTAATTAGCTTGATTAACTTGTTTGTGATCCAGGGTTGCCCTTTTTGGCAGTATTTTTTGATGCCTTTGGAATAAACTTATTGCATGCTTTATTATAGAGGTTAGACCATATAGAATAACATTCCTCATCATGATCCATAAATCTAGCTTGCCAATTTATGTTATTTATAAAAGTGTTTATTTTATCATATTTACCATATTTATAAAGGAATTTTTTGCTTTAAAAACTATTTTGATTACTATCGCTTAAATTGCGCTGCCAGCTAAGAGATATATGCCCTTGAGAGGCTGTACCAAGACAAGGTCCTGTTAAAACTTTGTTGATTCTATCTTTTGATTCTGATATAATTAGATCAAGTATGTTGCTTAGATTTCCATCAGTTTTTATAAAAGTTGGACATTTGACATGCTGGTAGAGGTGGTTGTTAATATAACTTAGTTTTTATTTAAAATGTTTTTTTTTTTTTGATAAATAACTTCTGTATTTCAAAATAACTTTAAATTAAATGTTTCTATATATTATGCGAAACACTTTTAAAATAACAAGTTACTGCAAACAATTATTTATAATGAATACATTTTATTTAAAAAGAGTATTTTATATATATATATATATATATATATATATATATATATATATATATATATATATATATATATATATATATATATATATAATTTTATTTATAAAAATATGTATTTTTTTCCAACATACTACATGCTAGTTAAGTATTAACTCATTTATTAAATAATTGCATAGTGAATTTCTTTTTTGAAAATCATTTCATAATCAAGTTTTTTCTTAACAAGAAAACGCATACTGTTTAGAAAACGTTTCTTCATAGTAAACAAAAAAAAAAAAGTGATTAAACCTTAGCATTTACAATTACATTTCAAATATATAACTAAAACTGATAACTTTTTTTTCTGGTTTTTTTCTTACTTTTCAAATTAAGTTTTTTGGTGTGATTATTATAATGTTATTAGGTTTAAAAAACTTTTATTTATGTTGTTATTAAAACTATTTAAAATACAATTTTACTGTTATTTGAAATGAAAAAATTTAAAGCCCTTATAATTGATTCACTTTTATAATTATAAAAACATAGGCGGAGGAAGGAGAAACGTAGGAGGAGAATTTCATTTTATAGTATTTTTAAAATGCTTTTAGTTTAAAATGCTAAATATTTTAATCAAACCAAATTGTGCATTTTACATTTTAATCCAATGGTAACATATTCCATATCTTATCAATGTGAATTCTAATTAAGCATTCTGATTGACTTAAAATACATTTATAATGTGTTTTAAAAGCCATTTTTCAAATGTAAGCAACATTATTAACTTAGCAAATTTTATCATCATAATTGCCACAAAACAGCAAGACAATTAGTAATAAAGAATTATTGTTTTAGTTTTTTAGGTTCTAATATAAAATTGTTTTAAATTGAGTTCGGCCAGATATTTGGGGTCCCTTACCGGTATACCGGTAAGGGACTCCAAAAGACTTTAAAGACTTTTTCAAATGTTTTGAAAAAGTCTTTAAATTCTTTAAAAAATATTACTTTATGATTAAAAAAAAATTTTTTTTGCCAATTAGATGAAAAGTTCTTTTAAGGTTAAATATTTTGTACATGCACTTGCAATACTGAGAAGTTTTACTATTGGAGTCAGAGTTGCAATTTTGTTTAATGACTCCAACTCTGCTAAAAATATTGTGACTCCGACTTCACAGCCGTGCATTATATAAACTTTTTTTATGTTGGCATATATTTTTTATGATAAATTCGAATGTTTGAAACTATTTTTCAATGTCTTACTAAAATTCTTTTAAACCATTACTTTTAGAACGTATTTTTTAAATATGTTCAAGACCATTTGTGACTAATAGCATTAACACATGTAATTTATATTGTTATGTAAATTATACAAGAATATAAAATAACTTCATTTACTTATATCTTGCTGAATAATGGAAAAGTTTTGAAGCATTTTGTAATTTTCAGACAATTTTCATAATTAAACTTACGTTTTTTAAAATCTTTTAAACAAACATTTTATTTTTTAAAGCAAACTTTTTTTTTATTTTATTACGATAGGAATGAATGAGTTTAAATCTTTTATAGTAAGTTTTAAATTTGTTAAAGCGCTCTTTAATAAATGTTGGAGGTTTATTTTATTTAAACCGCAGGCGCATTTCATTCATTTTTTTTTTCTTTCTGTTTTTACAAAAATAAAGTCGAAAAACTTTTTTTTTAACTAGACTTGTTAAAGAATAAAATTATAAAAAAATTACTTATTAATTAATTTTAAAAAGACTACATTATTTTTTTAAATAATTTTTTTTTTTTTTTTTTTTTGCAACTTTTTAATAAATTTGATAAAATTTGTTTATTTTAATCATTTAATTTATTAAACAATCTTTAGTACTAATTTGTTACTTAATTTAAAAGCGTTTTGTGTAACTTTAATAAAATGTTTAAAAAGATAAGTTTCAATAACATTTATTTCAAACGTAATTAAAAACATAAAAGTTTTGCTCCGAATTTAAGTTTTTAATTTTTATTTTTAAGTGCTTATATAGTTTCTTTTTAGTAAGGAATTTTTTTTTCGTTAGGATTTTTTTTTTTTTTAACTTTTTTCCTAGTTTAAGTTTAGTTCAGAATTTTTACATTCAACGCATTTCTGAAATGTTTTAATCATCAAAACATATAAACCATCGTGGTCAAGTTGTCAAAAAATAAAGTCATTTGCGTGGTCAGTAATAGCGCTTGATCGCACGCCATTCCTGTCCAAGCCTCTCTCTCTCTCTCTCTCTCTCTATATATATATATATATATATATATATATATATATATATATATATATATATATATATATATATATATATATATATATATATATATATATATATATATATATATATATATATACACACACACACTATATATACTCTTGCTCTTGTCGCCTTTTTTACTATAGTTTTACCATAAATCTTATACTTTATGTTTCTTTTAAAAAAATTAACTTACTAGACCGCAAAAAGTTTTAAAAAATAAAAATTTTAATTAATAGATTGGCTGCCCAAATCAATCAATGTAGCAGCACTCCTCACAGGTTCTACCTATTTTCAGCTCATGTATGAAAACAGTAAAAAAAAAATCGGTTTAAAAAAAAAAACATTTAGAATGTTTTTATTTTCATTAAAAAATAAAAAATATTCCAATATATAAAGCTTAGAAAAGAGCAACCTTAAAAGTGCTTCGGCTGATTATATAATTGGATTTGCTAACTGACTATCTTATAACAATATGTTAATAGTTAAAAGCTTAACAATATTGCTCAAGTGTTAAATACCAGACATTATATATTTAATCAAGTACAAACTTACCATTTTCTTCTGCTAGTATAACTGTAGAATCTTCATTTGGTGTTTTTAACTCAACTGTTACAAGTGCACTTTGAGAACATAAATTATCTTCATCTTCTGGAGTTGATGTATTTATTTTATCATTGATTGATAAAACAGAAGCAATGTTTGGTTTGGTTGAAGTCCTAATAAAGAATAAGAATATTTCAGAAGCATATTGTCAAACACCTCACCAAAACATTAAATATAAAGAAAATAATAATTGTAATTAGTCAGTACTTATTTAAGGATATTTACATTTGTAATTAACATAGATCACCCATGTCACATTTTGAAAATCCAGAAAATTTTTTGGGTAAAATATCTGTAATAAATTTTCCCTTTTCATTTCTCTAAATTTTGCTTTAAGCTGAGTTGTTGTTTTTTTTTTTCTTTAATTTTTCTAATTTTTGTATGAGAAATTAGTGAAAAAGCTTATATATATATATATATATATATATATATATATATATATATATATATATATATATATATATATATATATATATATATATATATATATATATATATATATATTAGGGTGTCCCAAAAAACAACATTTTTGAAAATAATCTGCTCTCACCCCCTAAATGTGTTCTATCTAATTTCGAAGGAGGTGAGAGCAGATTATATTCAAAAATGTTGTTTTTTGAAACACCCTAATATATATATATATATATATATATATATATATATATATATATATATATATATATATATATATATATATATATATATATATATATACATATGTATATATATATATACATATGTATATATATATATATATATATATAATATATATATATATATATATATATATATACATATATATATACATATATATATATACATATATATATATATATATATATATATATATATATATATATATATATATATATATATATATATATATATATATATATATATATATATATATATATATATATATATATATATATATTACAAAATTATATACCCAAACTAATATGTATGGAAAAGTTAAGTTGAATTACCAGGAAAAAGATAATCCCTGAATTTAAGTTAAACTAAAGTTAACTTAGAGATAAGGTAATATAACCAGTCTATATAATTAGGCTGGGATGAACCCAGAACTATTTTGGTACCGCTAGAGCAGTATGGGCATCCAAAAAAATATTTATTACTTGTTATTTTTATTTTGCTTTTTTTTTTGTTTTTATAAAAATGAATATAGAAAAAGTTTTGAAATAAATAAATTAAAAAGTAATTACAAAAATTGTTTGGTACTTAAACCTGTCACTTAGTAGTTAGAACATTAAATTAAAAAAATGAAATAAAACATTTTATGAAACTCAATTCAAAGACATATTATCTATATATTATCTTCTCTATTAAGGCGGTACCCCAAGAAATAAAAATCAATTTTGAAAAAAAAAAACGCAAAATTTTAACTTTGAGTAATAATAATTTGGGTTTATTTATCAACCAAGTAGTTTGTAATGTCCATAACAATGCCATAGCAACCAATGTATAATATATAGTTTGTGAAATAGTAACTTTTTAAATAATTATGCACAAGTGCTGAAACTTTCACAGATTGTTTTTAATATTATTAAAATTCATTTGAGAAAAGATTTTTTTTCAAAGCATTTGTGCATTGAAAAAAAACGTTATTATTTTAGTGTTGTTTAACTCGCTTACTTTTTAGTGTTTTGTGCATAATTTCTAAAATATTCATTTGTCTTCATTTACTTTCTCTCAAATGAATTATGTTACCATGAATAAAAAAATGTTCCAAATTTCATGCTAAATTGACCAGTAGATTTTGAGTAATTACTTCACAAAAATTCAGTTGTTTTTAATTTTTTGGGTATAATCGAGGCAAAGATTTTCAAGTTTGGTAGCATTTTTGAAAATTATTTTAAATTATGTATTTATATTGTAAAAATGATAGTGCGCTCTAGTTCCAATCAGATTTTGATTCATTTCTTGGGGTACCACCTTAACAAGTATAATACATTTATTTAAAAAAATAAAAAATAAGGAGGAATTGAGGAGAGCAGTCAAATATCAACTTTTTTTAAGGTTTTTAAGGAATTTAAGGTTTTTATTTTTTAAGGATATTAAAGGTTTTTATAGAGGAATGGGAACCCTGCCATATATTTTTTTAGTCATTAAGTTTACCATAATTAACTTCTTTTGTTTAAAAAGCAACTTGAAGCTTTGTAAAAATTATTAACCTTAAGTAAAAGAACAGAATATTTATATTAATATTTAAATCAAAATTAAAATTAAAATAATAGTAAATACATTTTACCGTGTTTATTGAAATATTTACTGATACTGTTCTTCAAAACTTTGGGAATATTTTTTTGAAAATGTCCTATTAACTCAATTATTAAATACTAATTCAAACAAAATAATAATAAAAAAAAAGTTATTGAATTTTAGGAATTTTTAACCCATTTGGAATTCAGTGGTATAAAAGGTGACATTGGGTATTTAATAAACTAAACTTATAAAAATTTTATTTGAATAGTTATTGTCTATAAAACATATAGAAAATAACTATTTGACTACAAGAGGAATATTAGGCAAACAAGACGCAAGACATTTAATAAGAGTAATTACTAATATTTTAATTTTGCAAATACTCTGCTACTAGTAATTTAAGATTAAAAGTAGTTTAAAGTGGTTTAAACACAAAAAAACTAAAATTAAAATTACTGAAATACAACTACTTAATGTTTAAAATACTTTAAACAAATTCCAATAAATATTTACAAATAGTCAAACAAAAGTATGTTCTCTGCTAAATAATGTATTCAAAGAAATGCTTTTACAATGAGATACTATTTTAGATTAACTTAAGGCCTTCTATAGTGGCAGGCCGAGTAAACATATGGCTTAAAAAAAAACTCTAGGTGAGTTTTAATTTTAAACATAATAATTTGTAATATGGTGCATTGCAGAAAAAGAACGTGGTCTTTTAATTTAATATGCAATACATTTTATGTATATTAAATTTGCTTTCTTTTTAGAGCTAAATAATTAGATTTGAAGAATATAGTTTTTAAGTATTGTGTCACTGGATGATGAACTACGATACTGCAAAGTCCGTGAAAGTTTTTTGCCTTTTAAATAAAAAAAAATGTGGATGAACAAAAAAGATGGATAAGTACTATACCTAGAGACAATATTCTAGATAGCCCGTAGACTTTTATTTGTGAAGATAATTGTCCTTAAGACTATGAAAAAGTTTTAGTTTATGGAAAGTTAAGACCAAAAAATTCATTATCTTTATTTTCTTATGTAAATCCAAATCCAACTCCACTGGCACCACCAAGATCAACTACTGAACCATTGTTATCTTTAAAATATATTAAGCCTAATGAAATGGAGGCTTTAGTGAAAACTGATATTTCTTCTTTCAAAGATTTTTGCAATAAAACAATGTCAAAAACTATATTTTTTTGCTAATCAATAATATCAAATATCTATGAAAACTGTTTACATCAGCTGATATATTAGACAACTTGGGCGCTCCAAAGTTTATTATGAAAATAAGAAACGATTTATCCTTTGCTAGCTATCACTGAGGCATTTAGTGCACCATAAAACTTTTTTCTTACAATCATATGAACATTATTGTATTAGTCATCTCCATGCTGCAGTACACTATCTGATTTTTTTACTGATTGATCACAAGAAAAGTATCATTATTGAACAGATGTTAACGGTGAAAAAAGTATTCTCCTAATATGGTTTCTAAGAAATTTGAGTACTTTTCATTGTCAACTCCTTACTCTTTTCACTGTCAACTTTTTATTCTTTCCATTGTCAACTCTTTACTCCCGATTATGTGATGACTAGGAACTACCAAATATATTTTTAATGACAGAGTTTACATCTAAAGTTAAATTTACATCTAAATGTTTTATTTCTCAAAGACAGGTTATTCTGCTAATTGATGAAATTTATATTAAACAGTTAATTGATGAAATTTATATTAAACAGTTAACATATCAAGGAGGTAACATTTTTGGTAAATCTATAAATTCCTCAAATGAATTAGTTTAATGATTTGTTCTTTATTGGAAAACAGTTTTTGTAGTAAGCATTACCAGCAACAGGTTTAGATGCTAATTTTCAATATGAACAAACAATGCAAACAATTGAAACAATAAAAAATTGTGGTGGTTGTGTTGTTGCAACTCTTTGCAACAATAACAAAATAAATAAAAAGTTTTTAGGAATGTTTAATCTCCCTAATACTTGGTCATAATCTCATAATCATAATCATAACAATTTCTTTCTATATGACTTCATTTAATAAAATCTGTTTGCAACAATTGGCTCACAGAAAAATGCCAAGAACTATATTTTACTTATAACGTTATTTCAAAAACTGCAAATCTTAAAAAAAAAAATTAATTTGTAAAAGATGCTATCATAAAATTGTTCAAACTTAATTAAACAGTTATTTTTTATTAAACCAATTGGACTTCAATTGGTTTAACGTTATAAGTAAAACATAGTTCTTGGCATTTTTTCTGTGACTAAACCAATTGAAGGTCAAAATGTGTCAATTTAAGACTGTGGCTGTTTTAAAAACTAATCCATCCATAAAAAATGTAGAAGAAACAACAGCATTTTTATCTATTTTTAACAAATTTTTTGTAATTATAACATGTACTTTAACAAGTCCTTTAACATGTACACATTAAAAAACTTTATGAAGATATTTGTACTAGAGATAAATATTGTGCTGTTTTTACATCAAACAATCATAAACAATTGAACTTTCTTTTAAATTTAACTAATACAGTTGAAAAAATGGCTCCTGAAAAACAAATTTTAAAAACCTAATGCTTTTATATGTTATTAAAACATAAACTTCGCTAACATTTGGCTGTATGCGTATGAAGTAACTCAAAAATCATTGGCAAAACTTGATGTTAACAGACAGAGATGAACATAAGGAATAAAAAAGGAATTTGGTAAGATATTAAATGTAATTTCCTTATCTGACATCTTGAAACAAAATTTATGAAAAAACTAGAAGTAACTGATACAAGGAATATCACTAGATGTAACTGATACAAGGAACTTTATACTTCACTGATACTTCACTAGATGTAACTGATACAAGGAACTTCACTGTATTGTGGTGCTTGTACTCAGACCATGTTGTACTTTGCAGTTTTAAATTTTTTAGTGTTTTCAGCATCTTCAAAAATACTTATATTAATTTTCAATCATTTTCTTCCACTAGAACTTGAATTAACCTTGAAAGAGTACAGCTACAAAATTTATAACAAAAATGTGAGCTGGAAATAAGGTATTTTTTTGTCTAAATTTAAAAATATTTTAAAATTTTATTTTAGATTTGTTAAATCTCTATAATTTGAAAAAAATTTATAATAAAATTTAAAAAGTTTAAAAAATCATTGAATCTCAGAGTTCAAGCAAATCTGAGATTCAGCCAAACTGCAACCTGCGGTAATGAAACTGAAAGTTTGTATTGACTATTTTAAAATCAAAAAAAATTAAATTCAGTTATTTTCTTTTCATATTTAGATTCCGCACTCACAAAAATGTTCAGGTACTAGTTTTTAGCCTTTTCTTTCCATTTGAATTTGAAAACAAAGTACCACTATGATATCTATATGGGCAGGCATTTTCAAAAAAATATGCCATTTTTGGCTGAATTTAAAAATATCATAACTTTTAATCTGTATAGAGTCAGGAGTTTCATTTTTATGAACTAAATTATGCGCATACATCAAATTACACCTCAAAGATGCCAAAATTACTGCAGAAATATCAACATTAACTAACAAGTTTCAATCAGGAAGAATAATTCTATAGAAAAATTTAATTTGTTCAATTTAGCAATTTACAGGCTTAACTTAACCAAAAGTAAATATTAAAAAAAGATTAAGAATCATCTAGTTCAAACATTTGAAACTGTAGAATTATCAAATTCATTTAGTAGTATTATGTGATTAAAAAAGTAATACAAAATTAAAGTAGTTTTAAAGGAATTCAGAAATCAAAAGCTTCAGAAAAAAGTTTATACTGATAATATCTAATTTTGACAACTAAGTCCTCAAAATATAATTTTGAAAATTAATTCAACTTATGATTATAATTTATTGCAATAATTTTGCTATAAACTCTAATTTTAATAATAGCGATTTTAGAGCAGAAGAAAAAAAAAAAAAAAAAAAAAATGCCGACGACACCACGCTATTACATTATGTTGGCCATAATAATATCGATAACACACAGGAAGAAGTGAATAATTTGCTAAGTTAATCACTACGTGCAAAAATGCATGTCAATAATGATGTCAATAATAATGTCAATAATGTCAATAAAAAAACTTAATTGATCGATTTTTCCTTAAATCAATCAATTGAGTTTTTTCATTATTGACATGCATTTTTGCATGTAGTGATTAACTTAGCAAATTATTCACTTCTTCCTGTGAGTTAACGATGATATTACGGCCAACATAATGTAATAGGGCGGTGTCGTCATGGAAAACATATCTTGCATTAGTTTTTTTGCATATGGCTTACGCTTGGCCTGCGTTCTGTGACATCTCTCGCATTTAACTTATGAAACTGTCTGCCACAGAGAAAATGCGCTTCTGTTTTATGCTACAAACCCCCATGCTCCCATCAACCTGTAAAACGTCTTGAAGGCATTTGCCTAAGATTAATAAAAAAAAGTTGCCTCATTGTCTGATCATCCTCTTAGATTGTTATTTTCAGTCAGAATTGTTAGAAATCTTAGGAACTCGCGTAAGCTGCAAATTTTGCACCCAAAGTCGACACGGCTAAAAAAATCTTTTGCGGGTTTTTGTAAGAACTCATAAATACCTAGATATTGTATTTATTTATAAAGTAAATAATAATAATAACAGTATTTATAATTAAGCTTGACCCATGAAATATTTTGCATCAGCTAATTTGACTCAAACTCTTTCCAAACATATATAAAATGTAGTAAGTTTTATAAAGCTTCATTTATATATTACTCATGTCTTGAGACAAATATTGATTAAAAAACTTGCCGCAGCAACAATTTTTCCATACAAAGTTTTGAAGGTAAGGACTCCTAAGTACCAAAACACATTTAATTTGTATGAAACTTTCCATTTATATCAAAAAAGGGACAAGAAATCGATGGAATATGGACTAATTTTAACATCTATACATAATTTTTTAGCTCTCAGCCTTTAAAAACTTCAAGGTTAATTTGTATTGAGAAAACAGTATTTTGTTTAAAAGAGTCCATATGGCAACAGCAATTATAGCCTTTCCTCAATTTAAAACAAGTATTTATGTTTTCTTAAAGATTTGGTACTAAGGATTTGTATTTAGAAATTATGTATATATGATATTTTTTCTTTCGCATATCAATTGATTTGATTTTTGCACTAGATTATTTATGCTTTCATATTGAATTTCGGTGTTATTATTAAACAGTAATTTTGGTGATATTACACACCAATTTTCTATAGTTAAGGACAAAAAATGCAATAACTTCAGATCCGTTTAACTTCTAAAGTTGAAGAACCCCTTATTTTGAAGGTTTTTTTTAGCTCTATTCAACTATATTAATTATATATAAAAAAAAAGTCTACAAAAAAAAATCCTGTGAAATGACTATCAATAACTGATATGGTAATTTTGTAATAATTACTTGATTTTCCCATTTTCTTCAAATAAATTAAAATAATTTGTTATAAATTTTCGTATTGGTATAACAAATAAGGAAATATAACTCAAAGAAAATTAACAACCAAATTATAATGCCAATAAACATTTGGTAATATATTTATAGATGAAACTTTTAATTTTTTTAATTATTATAGTATAAATGGCTAATACATAAAATATATAAAAAGATATAAATTAAATTCTGTTCTCTCTTTATAAGATAAAGGATTTTGATGTTTTATATTTTTATGTTTTATATTATTATTATTTTATATTATAGTAATATTATTACTTCACAAAAAAAAAAAAAAAAAAAAAAAAAGTTTTATTATTTATTTAATGACTTTTTTTCCATATCAGCTCATTTGTTTAAATATTAATTCATGAACAAATAAATGAATATTGAATTAATCCTTTTAACATTTAACTTTTTTTCCAATATACAGTCATTTTCCTAAAGAATCAATACATTTTTATTGATTTATTTGTTCAAATACATTAAAAACTAAAAGTATCCTCACCATCGGAAACAACCTTTGTAAGCCTTTAATACAAAGGTTGTTGGTTTTGATTCCTTCGTTGCAAATGGAAGGAGAACTTGAGGCACGTTAAGAGTATTTTCGTGCTGACTGAACACAAAATTTTGGAGGTTGGTTAGAATGAAACTTATGAGAATCCACCTTCCCGCCATTAAGCATGCCATGCTCTAATACTATATTAATAATATTATATTTATATTTGTTCTATTAGACATCAACGAAATCAACTTTTCGAACTTTTAAATAAAATCGGGACAGATTAATTCAAGTATTTAAAAAAGCGCACTTAGGTGACTCCGATTATGGCTATTAGTAATCATAGTAGTCCATCTATATTGGTACTAAGATTACATTAAATAAAAGAAATTTTGCCGGAGATGTAAAGCCTAATATTTCTGTTGTTTATGTCTAAATATGTTTATGTCTAAATACTGAGAAAAAACAACTACATGAAGCACAGAATACAATTGATGACTATAATACGAAAATTCGATTTTATTGAGACAGGAGAAAAATGAAAAATTTTGCACTCTAAATAAAATAAAACAAAAGTTTTATTTTATTTGTTCTTTCGGAAGAAACAAATTTCAAATTGGATACACAAAGAGAGTAAAAACTATCAAAAAGCTTCAGAAATAAGTAGATTTTCTAGATTTGCGAGTTCTAAAAGTATTCCATGTAATGTATTTCTCAAACTGTCTTTGATGACAGCGTTTAAATGCAATATATATTAATGAATGCGCTCTCTAACTTTTATCCTCCCCTTGATTTTATCTATAGAAACGTCGAGACTATGAAATTTGAAAGACTTTCTTCATCCCTTTTTTTTGTTTTGTTTTTTTATCTTCTTTTTTTTTTTTATGAAAATATCTGAACAAACTTCGGATTGTTTTCATTCTTGTGATTACCCAGAAAACCATGAACAACTGCGACCAATTATTCTGACCCGCTCTCTTTATCCTCTTCATGACCTTTTCAAACTTGTCAAACTCTATAGTCTTCTAGATACCAACTTTAACTATAGCCTCGGACAGGTTTGAAAAAAGACCTTGAAGGTACTTAAAAGGTGCATACTATTGTCAAGACAAATTGCTCGATAAGGTCTAATTTGAGTGCAGTGGTAACAAGCATTTTCTAAGGTTATATTAACGGCTCCAACTTCAGATTGCTTTTTCGTATAAAGATCTTGGTCCATTGTAAACTTTTCATTTTGTTATAGCGCGCCTTAGTGTCATGACTGCTCAAGAGGCAAAGGAAACAAAAAAATATTGTATTATAGCCTTAAAAGACCACAAGAAATAACAATATTTTGAAATCTTTGATGAACTTACATCCACAGTCGTTATACTTCAAGGCATTCATTAACATCTAAACACTGATGTAATTTTTTTTAGAGATGCACAGCGTGAGCCATTAAAATGGACAGGTAGCTGTTTCACTTGTTTAGCATCACGGCGTAGAGATTTTGCATCTCGATTAAATTATACAATAATTGAGTGGGTCAGAAGCCAAGGGGTACAAGTGACATTTTCATAGTTTTGAGATACAGTTGTTTAAAGTTAAAGTATTTTTATTAAATATACTCAGCTGTTGTTATGTTTTTCCAGTAGAAAGCAGTACAGGGCAGAGATTCACTTGTATCCCTTGGCCACCAACAATTTTGTTTCCTTCGTCTATCAAATTCTATACTTAACTTAGTTTTGGTAAAATTGTCACTTGCACCCCTTGGCTTCCGACCCACTTAATTAATGTCGTTGGCACGAATTTGTATTTTACAAATCGCGACGTTAGAATCATCTTGTTTTATCTCCACATTTTTGAGTTTTGAGATAAAACGATTTAAAAAATTAAAACTTTAGGAGACGGCATATAAATTTTTTTTTAAATTTTTAAACATTTGGTTTACATGACATATAACCCAAATAACTAAAAATTAAAAAAAATATGATGTTATTCCAATAGCTTTTATAATTCCATGTACTTCCATGTAATTCCAAAATTCTAGTAAGTTAAAAAAGCTTCTGCACAGAGTTTCTAGCATTTCAAAAATGTTCTTGAAAAATGCTCATTATTGAAGGCTTTATACCTTTCTTAAAAATACTTAACTTTCAAAATATTTTTGCGGCGGTCACAAAAGCACTGGTTTTATTAAACAACAGCTGTTTTCTATTTGTTTTTGACAATAACTAGTTAAAAAAACACACTTTAAGTTTAAGGACATAACGAAAATAATTTGTTACATAGTGTTAGCGAAACGATCAACGGAATATAGTGTGAAGAGTTTTTTATTGTTATTATTATTCATTTATTTATATATCTATTTAAATTATTTTTTTGCATTAAAAGCATTTCAACACGTCAAGCGTCAAAAATTAGTATATTTCAAAAGTCCACATTGTCACTTTTTTTTCAAGTTTCTCTCAACTCACAGACCTATCTAAGTTTTAGAGCTGTTTTTTTTTTTAACAAAAAAAAGGAATCTTTTAGAAAGACCTTATGTCGTATGTAAGTGATATTTATTTTTAAAGTGTAACCACACATCATTGGTTAAAAAATGTAACCGCACATCATTGGTTAAAAAATGTAACCGCACATCATTGGTTAAAAAATGTAACCGCACATCATTGGTTAAAAAATGTAACCGCACATCATTGGTTAAAAAATGTAACCGCACATCATTGGTTAAAAAACTTCAATTTCTGTAAACCTTGTGTACTTTTTAACTTTAGTACAAAAGTTTCTTAAATATCTTCATTTGAATATTCATTTAGTGATGGTGGTAATTTGAGTTCCTCAATGTCTTCGTTTAATATTTCATGCTAACCTTTGGCTCTAAAATAAAAAGCTGTAGGATATTGTGTTACTACTTGATTTCATGCGAAAGAACAATACTACTTCATAGGAGCTTCTTTAATAAAGGACTCTTTATTGCATCAATCAGATGCAGTTCATCATTAAAATGAAATTTCGGAGAATATATTTAAAGGATGGAAAAAAGAGTATTTCTAATTTATAAAGGTTTTATTGTAAGAATGTCAATCATACATGAATGTCTCTAATATCTATTGTACATCTGCTTTTCTTTTTTTGTACTCCTATATCATAACAATTACATTAACATCACAAATGTTATCAAAAACATTTAATTTGCTTTAAAACATACTATTTCTTCAAAGTCTTGAAGTATTATTTCAATCGGATGCTATTTATACATATCTATATAGTTTCGAAAAAATTTCATGATTTTTAGTTGTTGAAAAACAAAATTAACGTCATATACTCTCAATGGTAACTAATTGGTAAATTCTTGAGCAGAAATTGACCCTTTGAAATTTTAGTATATATAATTTATTATACTAATTTATGATTGCAACATAGCGCTACTAATCAGAGTGTAAAAAAAAAAATCGGAGAATTTAAAATTTTCCTCAAAAGTTTTTCCTCTAAATCAAAAATGCCTTATAAATAACATAGCGGAAATGAAAAAGTGTATTTTGGAGATAGTGAAACCGCGTTTAAACTTAGATACGCTAACCATACAAAATCTTTTAATATCGAAAAACATAAAAACGACACTGAATTATCTACAGAAGTATAGAGGTTAAAAGAAAGTGAAAAAGCTCGACAACTGAATGAAAACGTTGTAGATCTTACAATCCCACAGTTAAACGTTGCAACCTTTGTTTATTTGAAAAGTCATAATATCTTACACCTATGATAACTTATTAAATAAGAGGAATGAACTAGTTACTAAATGTAGACATAAAAGCAGACATAATTGCGAAGAATTAAGAATTGGCTGAGAACACGAATGACAGAAAACAGACTAGTCGGATTGGCTTTACTTAATGTGCACAGAGAAATTCCTGTAAATGTTGAAAAAGTGATTGATTGTTTTGCGGATCCGGGAAATCGTAAATTAGAATTTGTAATATGATTAATTAAAATAATCGACAAACCAAGTGCGCTTTTTTTATAAACGGCTAAATATACTAAATACAAAAAAATGTTTTTCAAATCATGTAAGGAAGGGAGGGCGATCGCCCCCATCGCCCCTCCCTCTCCCCCCTATGAATCCGCCCTTGACTTCACTAAAAACCTTCATTTGGAGGTTTCTCTACTTTATATTTCTAAAAAATTTATTTATAAATCTAGAGATGATTTATTTATGTTTAAACCTCAATTCTTAGAATCTGTGTTTGTTAAAATCATTTTCCCTAAAAAATCAAATATCATAGTAGACTGTGTTTATAGCCATCCTAACATGGAAATTCTATTTGAAAATTTGCTTTTAAAAGATAAAACCATCTTTATAATGGGTGATTTTAATATAGATCTTATAAAAGCAAACTCATATCATTTTAACCACCATTGCTTCAAAAAACTTTCTTCCTTTCATATCTTACCAACAAGAATTGCCGATCACTCAAATACTTTAATTGATATATTTTCTAATTCAACTTCTAAAGATATTTTTTCCTGCAATCTAATTATTAGAGTATCGGGTCATTCACCACAGTTTCTAATTTATTCATCTATTAAAAAAAGAAATATTAATGCTCTCAAAAACAATATTATTCTTTGAAACTTCAAAAAAACTAAATAGTGAAAAGTTTAGAAATGTTTACTTGAAATCAACTGGGATAAGGTAACCAACGTTTCCAATGGTAATACAAATAAATCATATGAAGATTTCTTCACTAGCTTTAACTCTATTCTAGACAAACACGTACCGCTAAAAAAACTAACTAATTGCGGCTTGAAGCTTTAAACCATTGATTACTTCACTAATTTTAACCTTGATAAAAAAATAAATCAAGATATTTAAGAAGTTCCTTAAAACAAAAAATTTACATGACAAACTAATTCTTGAAAAAACTTACTAAACGTTGAGAAATTTACTTGTAACACTTATTAGCAAAAGCAGAACCACTTTTCTAACTACGTTACTTCTAATAGTCATAGTTTGAAAGCTACGAGGAAGGGTATTAGAATTCTTTTGAATATACATTCGGATGATATCTCATACCCAACTTGTATATATTCAAACAGCACCATTATACATGATTCAGTAAAATCTCAGAAATTTTCAACTCATTTCAATCCTTGACTTTCTTTGGGAAATCGCGCTCCAGCAATGCTAGGATTTAGGTCTGGGTTTTAAAGTTTGGTAATGAATGCATGAACAAATGTCACCAGAACTTAGAGCATAATTCATCGACAAGTGGTCACAACGAAGACTTTGCCACACAAGTTTCAAGAAAAACTTTCAATTGTTGTAAGTGCCAATAATTTTGTAAAAGGTAGTGCTTTTGTAATAGTCGTCTGTATTAAAAATTTTTTTTAATCCTTGTAATAAATTAAAAACGTTTTATAATCAAAATTCTAAACGATACTTTGAAACTCTTTTTGGCGAAAAAACCCAACTTTACAAAATTGTTTGTTTGGTTAAAACTTTTGTAATCTTAAACAAATTGAATTTATCACTCCGAGGCCTAAATGTAACATGCTTAAATTTTTCAGAAAAGATCCGAGTATTTCAATGGAAACCTCAATTTTAACAAACAAAATTGGATGAAAATAAATTTTACATGCTGTCAAATTTATTTACTTTCTTTAAGGAAAATGACATTGAACATGAAACAATACTTCTTCATTGAACAATGAAGAAAACAATACTTTCTGCAAAAAAATACTTTTAAATTTTTGAAGAAGAAACTTCAAGATATTTTCCAAGTTAACCTGACACACCATTTGCAATGGCAAGAACTCAGATTATTTTGCGCCTGCTTCTTTCTTTTCCAAAAACATATCTTTGTCAAACAGGCTTTAGTCAATGCAGAGAAAAATGTGAATAACTGCTTCACAGTTCTAAAAAATGTAACAAAATACACAGCAGCATGCACACCTAATAAACTTGGTGAATGGTTTTACACGCAACAAATTATTCTTTGCCATTGAATTCCTTAACGCACATCTGAACACCAGTTAAGTGACCAAATATGACAGTAACATTATCGTATGCTTTTCCTTTGCAATTTTGAGTTTCTATTTCATCACTTCCTATTTGCCACGGTTCTTCAAATCGACCGCCAGGTTAAAACTCTCCCCACTCCTGTTTTTTTTGTATTTAATTAATCATATGCATTAGTAAACACAATTTAAGTTGCTAGAAAAATCTAAACTAAGCTTAACAATAGTACCAAAAAAATTTTTTATAAGGTCATTTTGTAACCTAAAAATTTTTGAAAGTATTTTCTAAAATATTTAGGTTATTTCCTGAAAATTTTAGAAAATAGTATTATTCATGTTAGGATGGCGGTAAACACAGCCTACTATGATATTAGATTTTTTTGGGAAAATATTTTAACAAACACAGACTCAAAGAGTTGGGGTTTGTAGATAAGTAAATCACTTCTAGATTTATAAATAAGTTTTAGTAGAAATATAAAGTAGAGCACCTCCAAATGAAGTTTTGGTGGGGTATGTTCATATATACATATAATTCATAAACATATCCACTAAGATTTAAATATTACAAAATCAATTATAGTATTATTTTACCCCAATAGTGTGCATAATTATAAATGGTGAGCGTTGATCAAACAAAAAAAAAATGCCTCCCACCAAAAAGTTAACTTTTCAGAATAATTTTTTTTTTTTTTTTTCATCACTCTTCAATTATCAAGACTTAATTTGAAAATTTTTGTGAGAAAACAGGAATTTGATTTTTAGAAGAAAATTTATTTTTTTGTAAAACCTTTTTTTTTTTTTTTGCATTAGGGGAAAGGCGCCTATGATGGCATACTTAACTTTGAAGCTTCGTTATTCAGTATCCTGAAGACCAATAAAACCAAAACCAAAGTTTTGATATGGATACATTCCTTGTTATATGTAGAGCAATAATAACCTTTGAAGCTTTCATCAGCTTTTTTTTTTTTTATAAGTTATTCCTATTTTAAAAAAAAGCACAAGAATGTCATCATAGGCAACCGCTGCTCCTATGATGGCCTATTTTTTTTTTGGAGTTATTTTTTGTAAAATTTGTGAGTTCAACTAAGTTATATTTTGCATTATTTGTGCTCATAAAACCCTTACTGATTTCTTGTGCTTTTATATATCCTACTCGCTTCTTGTGAAAACATATATTTTCATAGTATTTTTTTTTGTGCTTTTATATATCCTACTTTCTATCCTAATTTCTTGTGCTCTTATATATTTTAATTGTTAGTTACATGTAAGTTTTAATAAAGATATCCTACTCGCTTCTCATAGAATTATGTTTTTAATTGTTAGTTACATGTAAGTTTTAATAAAGATATCAGTATTATTAATATTGATTATAAATGTGTTAGTATATAATATACTGTTTGTTATAACAAAAGTGTTTGGCTTATTATTAGTTTTAGAAAAGAAAGCGCACCCTACAATAGCATTCACCGTCTAAAATATAAAAAAATCGACAAATTTTTCTAAAAGCAACCTTCACAAAAGCCCCTATTATGTGTTTATTTTTTTTACTTTTTAACAAAATATGATATTTTCATAAAGTTTAACATAGTTTATATTGAGTTTCTCAAACAATTGAAAAGTTTTTTTTTTTTTCATTTTTAATTTTTCCTCTTCAATTATTTATATTTTTCGTTGAAAACTAAACACTTCCTCCAACAAGACATATTTTATTTATATTTGTTTTTTTAGATTCAGATTCCCTATAAAATTCCCCACAAAAATTAACTCCCCTTACTTTTAAAGTTTGATAAAAACTGGGAAAAAACAAACACTTTACCGTGATATTCTTTGTCTAAAATATGAACAAAGTTCTTGATTTTTGTAAAAATACCCTTCACAAAAACTCCTTTTCTGTATTTATTTCTATGACTAACTTCATCAACATTTATTGAGTTAATCAAAAAATTTAGAATTTTTTTTTTCAAGTTATAGTTTTTTTCCCTGTTAATTAGTCAATTTTAGTCATTTTCCCGTTCAAAGCAACGCTGACTCACCCAACAGGAAATTATTTTTTTTTTTTGTTTTTTTTTGCAGATTTGGAATCTCCATAAAATTCTTTACCAGAAGTAACCTTGCAATTTTTGAAATTGAAATAAAAAAAAAAAATCGACACACCCTAATGCCTATTAGAGTTAAAATGGTCCTGATTTTGAAGGTTATTAAAAATTTCTTTTATATAAGTAGTCAAAGTCTTATCTATCAATAGACAGAACAAAGCACTTTATTTGCAGATAAAGCAACATAGGTTTCACAGTAACATGCTCTTTACTGATATGTATTGTTGTAATTATATTGATAAAAACCTCAAATATGTGAGTATTTGAGGTTTTTAGTTTAATATAGACTATTGATTGGTTTTGTATAAAGGAGATTAGGTAGAAGTTGTTTGATTACGAAATATAAATATAAATATATATATATTTTACTTATTTAGAGTATTAACACTTTTAAAATTGAATTAGTGTAAAAGTAATAGACATAACATACCATTCAAAGTATAAAAGTGTTTGTATCATGATAACCATTTTTGTTCTTTAGACATATCCATAACATGAAAATTTCGAAAAATTAACGGAAATTTGAAGAATAAATCTATTTCCTTTATGCTTGGTTCATTTTTATTTTTTCGCTATTTAACGAGTCTCGTCTTCCCTGATGTTTTAACAATTCAATTTTTCCCCTTACCGTTTTTTTCCTTGTTCTAATTTTATCTGATTTCTCGCTACCGTTACCGTTTCAAATAATTCCGAGATGCAGCAGCTTAGAACAGATGAGCGTTTTGAATTTCAATCAATTAGAATAAAGATACAAAGACTTAGATGACCCAGGTTTTCCGTAAAAAAAATTTAGTTACCTTAATCTTTTAAATTTTTTTTAAAACAGAAAACTAATCCCAAATTAACAGCAATGTTTTGACAATATTGATTTTTATTTCCACATAATGGTAATATTTATTTTACAAGGAGAGATCTTTTATATTTTTTTCATTTAAAGAATAAAGTGTGTATATAAAAAATTTAATAGTGTTTTAAAATCAGTGAATTTTGAAACTTTTTATGCAGAAATTGTTTATTTTTTGACCCCTTTGTGACCGATTTTGCCCTATTTTACATCGCGTAAAACATCCTTGAAATATGTCTGGTTCCATTTTATTTACATTTAATTTTGCACTTGATTCTGTTTTGTGTTGTTTAATCAAGTTTTATTACGTGAAAACAAATAAGTTAACTTTCGCTAACTAAACAACACGTAGGTGTTAAGTAATTCTTTAACGGATTTTTATTTTAGAGCGTGGTTTTGTTTTTTAAAATTGAAAGAATAAAAAGCGCAAATTTATTAGTGATTAAAATTTGTTTAACGAAAACATTTTATGCAATGAGTGCCTTTAATCAAATATTTCTAATAACTGGTGGATCAAGAGGTCTGGGAAAAGGGTTTGCTTCGGCTATTGTTCAACGTGGTGGTAAAGTTATAATTGTAGATATTGTAAAAGAAGTTGGCGAAGCAACTGAAAAAGAGTTGAATGAAACGCATCCTGGTCAATGTCTTTTCTATGAAGGAGATGTTACCGATGAACTGCTAATGAGAAACATATGGGAGGATAGTGAAAAAAAGCTAGATGCAAAAATAGGTGTATTGGTAAACAATGCTGGAATTTTTAACGCTGCTGACTGGAAAAAAACAATGAATATTAATTTAGTAAGTATTTTTTAATTTTTCGTGTTAATTTAAGTTTTAGTGACTAACAAAAATTTTTTTTGATATTGATGTTGTTAAATTTAGCATATCTGAATTAATTTGTTAAACATTATATGCAACGGTATCTTGCAATAATTCAAATGTAGAACTTTGTTTAACCTATATGTGTCACGTATATTTTAGATAGAACGTTTCTTTAGATGTATAGAATAAACTGAATAATTTATAATAAAATAGAATAAATTAGAATAAACTGGGGTAAGAGTAAGCGGTTTTTTTTTTTTTTTTTTAATTTTATGTTGTTTTTTTTGTTTTTGTTTTTTAATTTATTACATTATATAAATATATAAAAATTTAAATTTTTTTTTGAAAATTCTCTTAAAAATCTCAATTAATAAAGAAAAAAAAAAGTTTACTTTTCCCTTTATAATTGAGGAAAAGCAAACTTGTTAAATTTTAAAAACAATTGATCAGAATATTAAAAAAATCGAACTAAATTAATTAAAAATAAAATGAAAACTAACCTTTTTAGAAGCTAAGTTTACAAAAAAACTATTTATTAATTAAATAAATTTGAGTTGTTTCATCGTCAGAAGTAGGTTCGGAAAGTAGTAGAAGTAGGTTTTAAACTTTTCACCTATTTTGTATTATTAGGGGAAAAACGATCGACAAACCCGAAACTTGTAACTAAAAGCTTCACATTGGTACCAAATTTTGTTTTGAGTTGGCAATGGTTCCGAAAAATGTGACACACTTTGCACCTCTTGATTTCTTTGTGTTGTCTCGGTTTTTTGAATGTTGCACTTGCTGAGTTTCATCTGAAGCTTCACTAAAGTGAATCTTGCGTTTTTCTTGTTGGAAACAGATAACCTTGTTTTGCAGATACTAAATAACCCCAAAATATTGCAATGACATCAGCGAATGTTCTGCCAAAGCCTTAATCGGCTAAACTCATAAGTACTGAAACAACAACAAATTCAAAAGCTGTATTTAGCACAGTAGTCACACCTTTACTATGTGATTGGACTTTGTTGTACAAACGCTTGTAAAGAGTTGTCTTAGGTATGTTGTATACCTCTGAAGCTTTACTGAGTTATACTTTTTTGATTTGTTTTTCTGCAAGTTGCAATTGCTCTTCAGTGTAAGTTGTTTGAGTTTTATAAAATTAAGTACGGGTCATTTTGTTTTAAAATTTTTTAGATAGATAACAAAGGCTACCATATTTATTTACGTTTTTTATTAACTAAAAACTATTAATTAGTTTAGCCGCGCTTAATGTAAAAGTGTAAGCTATTAGCATGTTTACTCATCCTCCGAAAAACATTTATATCGGTTTTTCACTCATAACTTATTTCCAAAACTAGCACATTCAATTTTGAAAAGCGAATGTCCTACAAAACAGCCTTTTTAGTTTAGTAAAATTTAATTTTAGTTTTAGGAGTTTTGAAGTTGATTTTTTGGAAAAGAAATTTTTTTTTTACTAGGGTAAGAACTTAAAAATTTTCTAAGGCAAAAATAAATCTTTTAAATCAACCTTTACACCTTTAGATAGAGCACAAAATTCTCTACAATACAGTGCGTCGCATTTTTAACCATTTGTTGTTTTAGTTTTAGTCAATTAATGCAAAAGAAAAAAATTGCTAAACTGTTTACTTTTTTTTTTCGTTTACTCTTACCCTCAGTTTACTCTATGCGTGAAACATGAACATAAAAATTTATAAAACATTTAAATATATAAGAAAGTAAATAAAATAATTAAAATAAAATATGTAATGAGTTGTAAATTTTGTCTAACTTACGTCATTAATAAATCATTTCTTTAGTGGTAAATCTAAAATAACCTATTAATTTATTTATCTAAAATATCTGTATTAAAAGAGCCATTACCTTAGAAATATAAGCAAAGTCTGTAATGTCTTCAAATTGTCTTCATTTTTAGATTTTGTAAAAAGTAACGGAAAAATGTAGAGATTTAGGCCACTGTTAAATTTATTTTTTTAAACTACTATAAATTGGGATATTAGGTCCCATTTTGTAAAAATGTTTGTGCACGAAGTACAATTGGTACTTTGAAGGGCAACTTTATCAACATGAATTTGAGAGACGCATTTCTTTTTTTATTTTTCTGCTGCTCTGAAAACTGGGTGGAAATCTACAGTAAAAATAAAAATTCAATATGGTTTCATTTTTTGTTGTCTAGAAATTGTTGCTCAAAACTGCTAAATTTGAAACTTTAAACTTACTTTAAGCATTAATATCTTCTAAGACTTGTACATAAATTTCTTAATTATTTTTGAAAACCACAAAGGGATACATTTATCTTTTACAAAGAAAACTTGTAAATGCAAGAGCCTGGGACGGTGTAAGCTGTCAAAAATGTATTTTTGCGATTGATGCGCTTTGTTAGATTACCCATAACAATCGTGGCCTTAAGTCTGCCATGAAATGTATAAGTTATTTAGTTACCTTATATATGAACCATTTAATATCTGAAAAAATATTGATGGAACGGTATTGATATGCACAGCAATGGCTACATCGTGATGTCAACATCGTGAATAATTACTACTTTAATTAAAAATAAGAGAAAATACATTTTTGTAACGAAACTCTACAAGAATTTTCAAAAATTGCTTTTTAAACTTTTTTAATCAGAGAAAGGATCAAACATCAAACACTTTGAAGCGTTTATATCATTTCCAGCGGAAATTTGTTTTGAACTTACAAAATAAGGGCAACGGTATTGATATGCACAACAATGGCTACTTGACATCGTGAATAGTTACTACTCTAATTAAAAATATGAGAAAAAACATTTTTGTAACGAAACTCTACAAGAGTTTTCGAAAAAAAGCTTTTTTAATCAGAGAAAGGACCAAACATCAAACACTGAAATGTTTATATCATTTCCAGCGGGTATAAAAGTTACGTTCTAAATGTATTTTATGTCTTTTAAACGTCTTCCAAACATTCTTACGTAAAGAACGTTTAAAAGGCGTTTAAATTTCAGATAAACTTTAAAAAAAAAAAAAAAAGAAGAAAGAAATATAAGAAAAACTCTTTTTTAAGAAAATCAGCAAGTTAAAGTTTTAATGAAGTTTATAATTCACCAAAATGAATTTCCATGTTGTCAGTGACGTCTCTTGACAGAAAATAGTCCCCTTTTTGATTAGTTTGTATGGGTGCATCACTCATTCAAATAACGTTAAAAGATGAATGTTGGAGGAATTTTCCTTGGTTGGCCACTTGAAACAGGTTTTCTAGATGCAAATAAATAATTTATATGAAAAGCATAAATCTTCATTGACCTAATAGTTGAGATAAAAATAAAACAAATCATTAATCTTCCAGAATACTTCTTACATTTAAATAATGTGATTAATAAATCAATATTTACAGATCTTATTAATTTAATACTCAAAAATAAAATACGCTACTAAACGCTACTAAACGCTAATAAACAATTGTAGGATACCATAGCATATTATGTTCAATGACAACCCAATTACTAATTTTAATATCAGCAGCTAACTCCTTTGCTATCAGCTGAATAACATTGATTAAATCATCATCGTTATTTTGAGTTGCATATCTCGCAATATCAATGGTATCAATCCCGTCATCAGTTAGATTAAACTCATCACAAAATGTTTACTAGCTTTCCTGCTTTTTTTGTTTGTTTGCGACACAATAATCGCAAAAAGTGAACAACGGAGCCGAAGACCTGGGAGAACTGAAAATAAAAAAAGATTGAAGATAATGTCATTTAGGTAAAAAAAAAAACATAAATTAATGTAAAGACTATTTAGTAGGTGGAGTAAAAGTTAGCAACTCACGAAGAGAGGAACCATAACTCACACTCTAGTCATCTTTAGCAATTGATAAAGCAATGATCTGTGAGTAAAAAACCAATAAAAATCCGCTGGTTTATTAATGGTATCCATAATTAAAATAATTGCACCATACAAATGTCTAACAAATGTGTTACTATAAATGGTCTAAATTCTAGATAATAAATTGAGTACTAATATCCACCTGTGTAACATAAAAATATATAAATATCGTTAATGTAACAAATTCATAATAAAAAGCTAACGAAGCGCAAAAATTCATGGGTATAAGAGGTAAAAAAAATGTTGGTACCATAATAACCAATTAGAATTAAGTAGTGGATAAATGGTGACCCCCTCCTCAGGAATGCACTGCGATCACCCATGACGTTTCGCAGAGCCCGAGATCTGCACTAACGCTACTCGTCAAGGGCGTGTCCTTGCGACAGATCTCACCGCTTGCACTCTACATCATGTTAGTTAATATTGTAATATAATAGGACTACACTACAAAAGCTAAAAAGCTTTTTTTAGTGGTTATAAGCTGTTAGTAAAAAATCGCAATAAATGCAATTTATTATTAACAGCTTATAACCACTAAAAAAAGTAACGTTAAAAAACAATATTGATGACAAAACGACTAAAGGAACGTTAGTGAAGACTGTATACAACAAACTAACTTAGCAGCGTCAGATCAAGAAAATTAGATAGAAACAAAAAACCTAACGAGATCGTCTATTCTTTTTTTATTTTTCGAGATCGCCTATTCTTTTTTTATACTGAACTGAATATACTGAACAATTCGACTAGATAAGTCTAAACTTATCTAGTCGAATTGTTCAGTATATTCCAACCAAGAACACATTTGTTATAAAAATACGCTAATACGTTTAAAAAATATTATGAACAAAAGTATATAATAAAGAACAAATATTTGATATATTGATTTTAGATGCTGTTGATGTCTACAGGTGTGATGGTATAGTGCATTAGTGTATACCGTTTGGTCGTCTTGTATGGTCTCGTTATGTTTTCGTTCACTTTCGAATCGGGTGAATAGAAAGCTAAACACACTCAATTCTTGCGCTTATGGGCTAGCACATCAGAGCCAGACGTAAGACCTACAGAATGAATTTCAATTGATCGAATGCACACATAAAGTCACATTATAAATAATTTAAATACAAACTTTTGTTATTAGTAAATATTCAGGTTAATTTATTTTCCTTGAGAATAATGATTGAACTTGTTGAGTTGTCAGATATTCACCCGGCTTTAACTTTTTCTTGAGCTGCTGGTGAATTCTTTTTTTTTTCCCACGTTCTTCTCTAGACATGAACATCTGCATCAATAATGTTTTTTGCTTTAAAGAATATCTGAACACTTTTCTTTTTAGTAATCCCTATCTAGTGATATTTGTGAAGTTTTCAATCCCTTCTTTGACAAAGGAATACAATAATAGATACAATAATAGACAATAAAAGATAATCAGAAGAGTTTAGGTTTGAGATTTTCATTTTGTTGGTATAAGATGTCCTCCTCTGTCTACCACAAATTTCTTCACAGATTGAATACTGTGGTTTTTTGATAGCATATGTTCTTCTAATGATTCATTATAAAAAAATGATTCAGCTCAACCAAATTGTGAACAAAATTTGAAAGTGTTAACACTTCTATCAACACGTAGTTTTTCAGAAATTGTTGGTGCAGTATAATTTTTGAAAATTAAACTAAAGGGCTTAACAATATTAACTGAAATGTGTAATGTAATACTTGTTTAGTTCCATTTTTAACCTTCACCGATTCAGAAGTATTTCCACATTAAAATGTAATCAGCAAAAAACTGATGATAAAAAAAGGATGAGAGCTGCTTAAGTTTGAAATAAGATTCGATCCTACTAAAATAGAGGGTTTTGAGTCTATTTGAATGCAGCAACATCAACTTATAAAGAGTTTTATAAAGATCTTCTGCAATCCATAAAGTATTTCCAGAATCAACAAAACTCCTGATGACACATTTCGCTCCTGCTGGCTCTCTATTTCAGCGTATTAACCTTGTTTTCAAGCCTTGCGCGTAGAGCCATTACGTACACGTAATTTTACGTAAGCGGTAAGCAATTTTGGTTGAATAACTTTTTAACGTTTTTTAACTTTTAAATCATTCTATATATATATACCATATATATACTATTTATACCATAAACGGTAAGATAAAGTAATTAATTTAAAAAAAAATCACAATAATTTTTGAATGACGTTGATGTAAAAATACTTGTTACAAAAAGTTTGAATGACAATTATATACTAATTATCAATTATATTCACTATTATAATTAATTATATTTATATTTAATACTATAATTAACTATATTTACTTATGAAAAAAACTCAAATAAAATTAAAAATTAGTTTTTATTTTGTTTTTATTTTATATTAATAATTGATTCTTTCGCCTGAAAAATGCTTATTCTGCAAGCTTAAAACAATTATTAATATAACTTAATTCTAATAAAAAAAATATATGATTTAATTTAAAACAAGTTTGATAAAAATATAAAACTTTATTCTGACAAAAAAATGTATAATTTAGTTTAGATTTAAAAAATATATAATTTAATTTTGATTTTAAAGATTTATTTAAGTTTATTAAAATTAAAGTTATTGCTTGGGTTTAACATAACTGTCAAATTTATTAAAAAAAATTGCTAAGCATTGTTCAAAATTTAATTTTATTTATTCTTTATTGACACCCCCTCCCCAATATTATGCAACAATTTTGTACCCCATCCCCTAAAAATATTTTTTAAGTTTTTTTAGGGAGGAGAGGGGGTGCAAAATTTTACAAAATACAAAACGACTTTCAATATAATAGTGTCTATAATTCTCTGAGCTTCTTTGAGTTAGTTAACTAGTGCCATTCAGTCTGTTTAATGTTTTTTTTTTCACCCTAATAGTTCCGTGTATAAATTAACATTGCTATCCTGAACATTATACCAATTTTAGAAAATCTATTCATCCGATATATAAAACATGCAAAATATTATATATATATATATAATATATAATAAATGGTAATATACCATACATCCAAAAATATTTTCTTTCACATAACATCGTAAACGTAGCCGTGTGGATTCTGCCTCCGACTTGTAGCTAAGGGTTCCAGGTTCGCTTCTTGGTACCAGGTTGCCATTTTTTCTTAATTAATGCGCAAAGGTTGTTTTTTGTTGCAGCACACTTTTGTGCACCAACTAAATAAAGTTCTGCAGTTGAGCCATATAAATTGAATAAGCAGAACGTGCACTGCACATACAGCCGTAGTTACCCCGTTAACGGAGTGTGCATCGATTAAGTAAGATTCATGTGTAAGGAAACTAAATAACTTATACATTTCATGGCAGACCTAAGGCCACGGTTGTTATGGGTAATCTAACAAAACGCATTAAGCTGGTACAACTCCAAAAAAACAAGGAAACTTTAAAATTGAGTTTTTCAATTTTGTATAAATTTTGTTTTGTATAAATAAATTTTGCGTCAAATTTATCAAAAAACGTTTAAGAGCTAAATACTTTATCTTTTTTAAGATTTTATTTTATTATAACTTTCTGCATTTTATTATAACATTCTGCATTTTATTATAACATTCTGTATTTTATTAAAACATTCTGCATTTTATTATAACATTCTGCATTTTATTATAACATTCTGCATTTTATTATAACATTCTGCATTTTATTATAACATTCTGCATTTTATTATAACATTCTGCATTTTGTTATAACATTCTGTACTTTTTTTTTCTTTAGCAACGGAGACACTAAATATTTAATTTAGTTGTTAGGGCTCTTCTCCCTAAAAAAAACTTTTTTGCAGTCTTCAAGCTTTACAAGCTTGAATTCACTTTTTCGAATGATGTCATGTTTTCCGAATTTAAATTTAGTTTAAAGTCAATGTTTTTAACCGAGGAGGAAAGTATGCTGAGAGCTGCTTCTAAAACTAAATCAATAAACAACTCTCTTGAAATAAAGGAAATTAGAATAACTTTCGATGGCTCATGGCAAAAGCGAGGTCATAATTTATTAAAAGGTATTGTAACTGCTGTTTGTAGTGATAAATGTATTGATGTAGAGATCTTTACCAAATATTGCAATGTATGTAAAATGTGGAGATCTAAAAGAGAAGCTCCAGAGTATCAGTTTGGTTGGTTGATCACCAGTGTGAATCGAGGTAGGATTCATTAGGGAATCTTTAGTAGCTATGGCTATGTTAAACAGATCTTTACAACAAAATAAGATGATATAAAAGAATATCTTAGAGATAGAGATATATCTTCTTTTAGCCCAAAAAAGTAAATCAGCCCAAAATACCAATATCAGGCTGAGGTAAACTCATTAAAAAATACATTAATTAAATGCAAAACTTTTATGTTCTTGCAATCAGGTTTAATGGGCGAAACTCGAATTTAATGAAGAAAGCAATTTATGGCATACTTTTCAACTTCACTGATTTTCCTGATTCCTACTTACGCCACTAGTTTTCTCCTCGTAGAAAATATAGCTGATGTAAATACTAGGTTCTAAATCAAAAGAATTACAGGCGCAAATCACATATTTAGCTTTTTTAGTATATAATGATGGTAAATAGAGTGTTATTAGTGTTATAAGACAATTTCGTACATATGGTGTGGTAACAAAATTTCAGCGACTTCTAATAATAAAAAAAGGAGTAGTCAAATGAGGTGCAAGTCATCAGAAAAGAGAAAAAGAAGAAAAACTCTTAGAAGCATGAAAAAAGGTCACCTAATTGAGGAGAAGCCAATTGAATTTAATGACAATTATGTTTGAGGAGGATTTTAAATCAATATTGTAAATAATATACCAAAAATTTTAAAATTTACTTATCTCAGCTTTTCTTTATTCATTTTTGCTTAAACTTCAAAAAACTGTTTTTTGAATTAGCAATGTTCATTTGATCTGTAATTTTTAGTACTTGCTATAAAATTTATTTAACAGATGGACTTTCGTTGATGATAAGTAAATGTTTTTTTTGGAGTCAGACCTCTCTAAAACATCAAAAAATAAATGAAATATGCGGAATATCAAACATCTATCTGTTAAATGAAATAATATAGTGTTTAGAGTAAGTGTACAAAACTTCATGCTATTTGATAATGGCTAGCTTAAAATATTATGTTTTAAAATTAGTCCAAAAATTTTTTCAACACAATACGAATGGTGAAAAAAACAACAACAACAAATTTTTTTAATTAGCATTAAGACCGTATATACGGTCTTAATGCTACTTTAAAATTTTGCACTCCATGCACAAATATTTTACATAATGAGCCAAATTTTAGGACTCAATAACTCCCTAATTGATAAGAATTTTAAAAAAATATTTAGCAGTAGCCTAATTACATAAATTTCTAAAAAAGAAGACATTTTGAAGACATCGCTATCAGACTTTGCCTATATATTTCTCAGATGATGGCTCTTAAATAGATTGAACTGTTTTAAATTTTTATTAAGCGTCATCCATAAATTAGGTCACGCTGCGTAGTGGGGAGGGTTAATGGTTTTGTGACGACTCATAAAAAAACTTGTTACTAAAGTGTTAAAAGGGTCGAAATTTGCGTGACGTTATTGGTGGACGACCGCTTACTTAAATAATGATTGTTGTTAAATCAATTTAGATTTCAGTTATGCAAATGAGTTATATAGCTTTGGAAAAAATGAATATTAAGAATGGCGGCAGCGGTGGTACTATTATCAATGTTGCATCTCTTGCCGGTTTGGTTTATGCTAAACTACATGAAGCAATACCTTACTTTGTATCCAAATCTGCTGTTGTTTCCTTCACAAAATCTTTGGCTTGCTCCAATGTGCTGGTAATTAAAATAACTTTTATAATAAATAAATTTTTTTTCCTGGTTTTAGTTGCTCCAAGAAGAACTAATGGACTTTTTATTTCTGCGCCACGGAAGTACATTTTGCATGTTCACACTGTCTTTTAACTGATAAATATTAATGACATCATATAATAATCAAATATTATAATCACATTTATGTAGTATTTAAATTGATTTCGAACTGGATAGGTGTCAGTATTAGGTGGTAGAATAATGTATTTACATGTTGATTTTGTTTTAAATTTAAGTTAAAAAAATTAAAGTTTCAAGCACTTAAAACTTTTATTTACAGAGATTTTACATGTGCTTTGGTAGAAAAACCAATAAATTTAATTCTAAACATTTTTACCACTTGTTCTGCAACTCCATCCATTCGTCAATCTTTTAGAAAACATCATAAAAATACGATGTTCCAAATGCATCTTTTTTTTCTTTCTAAAATTTACCCGCACTTCTAAATCAAGGAAGATAAGGTTGACCATGATGAGGTTATCATGGTCAACCGTTGTTTACCATGATGAGGTTTTTCGTCAGAATGAAAATGAAACATAAAAACTTTTAATTTCTCCTATTAAATGCTCTTCCGCGTTGCTCTGTGATAAGACCGTAAGGACTTCTTGGGGCACCTTAATCAACTTTAAAAAAAAAAAAAAATTCATATATATTCATGTCTTCCATTAATGGTTTTGCATGTTCATATATATATTTTTTATATATAAGTCTGCATGCATGTTTTTGTAAAGAAAATATTTTTTTTAATTTTGTTGGTTGAGTACTAGCCCATGTGACATTGGCATGGTATATGAAACAATGTATTAGGCCAAAATATACTCATTTCAGACTTTCTGATGTTACATATGGACAAATACGGTACATCAGACCGATTGTTTTACAAATTTTTGATTGAGTATAGTTAATATGGGGAAGCCATGATAAATTTTCATCAATAAGAATTCCCAAGAACTTTATTGAATCATTTTTACTAATTAGTGTAATTAATTAAATAAGTTTATTTATAAGTTTATAATTGTTTATAAGTTATTTATAAAAAAATTTGTTTTCATGAAGACATTTTGATACCAGCGCATTTCTTTTGTTTAATAATTTCAATTTTGATGTTATCATGTGATACTAAGGCTTCACTTAAGCAAAGGTTGCATAATTTGTAGGGCCGTCCCGAAGGGGGGTGTCGGGGGTGTCCCCCCTCCCAAAGCTGTCATATAAGCATTTGAGTTGGCACATTGAGCAAGTTTTGCTCAATGGGAAATGCTTTTTGAGTTGATATAATAAATATAGTTGGCAAAATGCCAACTGAAATGCTATTTGAGTTGGCATTTTGCCAACTATATTTATTAACATAGTTGACATTTTGCCAACTATATTTTTATTAAAGTTATAGTAGGCAAATTTAAATATAAATATAGTTTGCTATATTTATAGTTGGCAAATTGCAAGTATTGAGGACGTTTTTTTTTTCTTTTTTTGTTTTTTTTTGTGTTTCCTTAGTTGGCAAAAAAATACTTACACCCCCCCCCCCCATGGAAGACCTTTTCGGGACGGCCCTGATAATATGCCTCCGGGTTTAAACGGTTGTTCTTTATAATTAATTTTCCATTTTATAATAGGATTTGTATATCCCTTTTTTTAATTTCTCTTATAAACTTGGAAAGCTCAGGAATGAGTTTTTGTGTTTGTACCAACTGTCTTTAAAAGTATTCTCTGTTAGTCCAATATAGTTGAATCCACCAACTTATGGCGACGTTTTTACGTTACAGCAGTATACTATATATTTTTGGAGGTATTTTCTTTCCAAAGGGCATTGCGAAGTTTATTGCCAGTTACATTGTTGGTTGGTTGAGGTGCAACAATCGTGTAACAAATTTTTGCAACATTTGTTCTTACCTTAGGCGCAAAAAGAAGGTTAAACCATATAATTTTACAGGATCTTGATTTTGTTGCGGTATGATTTGGTTTATATAAGATTTTTTCTTAATAAAAATTAGACCTTAAGACATTATCATAAAACGGTGCAGCTTTGTCAAAAACATCTTTATAGTTTGAAATATTGTTAACTCGTTTGGATAACATTGTTGATATGGACTTGGTGATATTAGGAGGGTAGTTTGAAAAAATGTGTAGTGGGTGGTCACCTGGTTTTCTGCATGGTCGAAAGAAACAATCCGAATAGTTAAACGTAACATCTAAAAAACTTACAATCTTTAAGTTTGATTTTACTGGTCATTCTAGATAGTATGTGTGTGTGTTTGTGTTTGAACTATAACTTGAAAACCTCCAAAGAAGGTGGTTTTCAAGTTATAGTTGGTTTTTTTTTATGAATTTAGTTGGGTATTTGACAAATTTCAGTCGGGTAAATTTTTGGTTGGAGAACTTTTTTTTATTTTTAAAGAAACCAGTCGGTACTTTTTAGGGATTCTTCCCCCCATTATATTATTTTAAGAACCACCTCAGTGTAGGACACTAGAAAAGACCTCAAAACTGCTATATCCTTTATATATACATTGGCACCCTCACATTATGCCGCTTCTTGAGAAAAAAAAATTGACCTACCTTTATATATATATATATGTATATATATATATATATATATATATATATATATATATATATATATATATATATATATATATATATATATATATATATATATATATATATATATATATATATATATATATATTCATTTTTGTAATAATTATAACCTAGCCAACAAGTTTTTTTTTTATATTACGGTAGAAATATATAAACGCAAAACACGGTTTGCTGTAGTAAGCCACCGCGCAAAATAAATGTTTTCAGGAGAGCTTCCACTATTTGAAACATCTCATAATTGAATAGATAAACAGATACTGTAAAGATATTTTTGTTCTGAGCTTAATGTACTAAGGATGTTATCATCAATTAAATGAAAAGCACTTTATATTTTTTTTTGAAAAAAAATTATGCAACAGCCTAAGGCTGGCTGTGGCTTATGGATTTAAATTCTGGATTTAAAATAAGCAATTTTTGTTAGACAAAAAAACTCATTTATTTACTGCAAAAAAACATTACAATAACGTTGGTACTCCTATATTGAATAACAACAACCCTCTTATTCTCAGAGAAAGTCTAAAAGCACATTGTAAATGTAATGCGCTCGTGGTGTAGTGGTAGAGCGCCTGCGTCATTATTGAGAAGTACCGATTTCGATCCCCACCACGTTCCTGGTAGTACCGCGCTCAACTTATTTCTCTGCGCAGCGGCCTCGGTTGTCAAGGTTCGTGTTTCGGAGTTATATTATTGAGAGAGGGTTATAACCACAATTAAGTAGTTTTCTCGTCTGTAGTGGCATTTCCAGCTTTGGGGAGGTGAATTAACATTAAAAAAAGTAATAAAAATAAATTAGATCAGCTTTATCTGCCAAGCTTGAGCCACTCTTTCATTTTTGTAAGGTTGCTATAATATATTATTTCTTAATATAATTAAGAAATAAGGTATTTTTTTATTCTATAATATTTTATTTCTTTTTTCTACAAATACAATCATGGTCAATGCTCAAACAAGGTATCATCTCTATTACGATAAACCAAAACTCATTCTTGCTTGTTTCTTATTCAACAAGTAGCATCATTTTACTGTATCTGTCCCTTCATGCTATAAAAACTTTTATTAATTCAGTTATTTTCCATGCACATCAATAAAAACCTTATGACTTTTAGCCATCTTCATGTTTTTCTTTTATATACAACCTACAACTTTTTAAGTCTTCACTTTCCTATTATTTTTACTCATTCTCTATTTTATAGTAATTCATAAAAAATAATGGTTGCTTGCAATCATGTTGGAAGTAAGTTAGAGTTTGAAAATATATAAATATATACCAGTATTTAATAAATAGTAAATGTTAGCATAAAATTATTATATGTAAAGTATTATAAACTTTTTTTTAGCCCCGGCTATCAACCCAGATTTGAAAAAAGTATCATTTTAGCCGAGGTTGAGACAGGGACCTTGGTCACTTATTAACAACAACATGCTCAACCTAACGCCAGGTTCGACCCTAACCAATTTTTTTTTAACTAAAACTAAGTAAAGCTATTAAAAAAACCAAATGAACTATGATTGCTTTACTTAACAAGATATGTGCTATTTAATAAAAAACTGTGAAATAGAATATTTATAAAAAATATATAAATAACAAAAGCAGGGTTTAAATTTGTCAGTGACACTCTTCAAAAATTTTAATTATTCAAAAATTTTATTAAACTTGAAAAACAGTTTTCTATTTTTTTTTTCAAAATAGGCTCTCCTAAAGATTTAACAAATCAGAAAAATTTTTTTCACTTAAAAAAAGTTTTTGGATAGGCAAGCCAGATGTGAAGCGCATTATTAGGACCGATAAAAAAAAGATCTGACAAGAATAAGCTCAAAGACTTGATGTTTTTGGAATATCAGAAAGGAGGAAGAAAGTTTATTCTTGGAATAAGAAATTTAATAGAAAGATAAGAAATTTAATAAAAAGGTAAAACTTTACAATTATAAGTGATATTTTTCTTATAAAACATTTCGTTATAACTAATATTATTTTATGCGTGTAAACAGCAGAGACTAACAGAAAGAAAAATCGAACGAAGGATGTGCAATCAACAAAATCTAATTATGAAATTGAACTCAATTCTGATTTAGATTTAGATTACCTAATGATTCTGATTTTGAGTATAGTAACTTTGAGCCTTTTACTATAAAGAACCAACTGAATCTAACTGTACAGTAACTGCAGAAATTCCAACAGATGTGTATGCCGGGAATGTTGCCCTAATTGCAACGTTAAGTAATGTTTTGCCAAATGTTTTTCAAAAATTGACAAGTGGCATTTTAACTGAAGCTGGTGTTGAACTTACAGATATACATTGTCGTAAATCAACATCCTTTAGAAAGATGAAAATAGGAAATGAAAATATGTCAACTTTAGCAAAAGAGGT